GGGCTTCTAGCTGAAATAGATTCTGTTTGACTAGGCTGATGATGTTAAGTAGGTGTTTCATCTCTTCTAGAATCTACTTCCCCACCCTCAGCTCTCATTGTCAGCACAGAAGGAAAAAAGAGAAACAGGATACAGATTCCTCTTGGATGCCTCTAGTGCTGCTGCCAAAAAAAAGTTGAGCTCAAAAATAAGAGAAAAAGCAGTAGACTTTAGAATCAGAAGACTTGGGTTCAAGCTGTGATTATGCCACTTACCTACTATGGGCAGGGCATTTTCCCCTTCTGAGCCTCAGATTCCTTATCTATGAAATTAGCAGGTTGGGTTAGATTAGTGTTTCTCATTTTTGTCTCAGGACCCCTTTATACTCTTAAAGAATTGTTGAGGATCCACAGAAATACAAAACAACTCCTTCCAAAAATAAAATAATTTTTGTTCATGTGGGTTATGTCTAGCAATATTTACTGTATTCAAAATTAAAATATCTTTGTATTGTTATGAAAATCATTTTGACCTTCAGGCGTCCCTGAAAGAGTCTCAAGATCCCTGGGGGTCTCTGAACCACATTTTGAGAACCATTGAAGAAGATGATCTGTAAGGTTGCTCCCAGGCTATGATTCTGTAAGCTGATAATGCCAGCGTCTCCATTGGGGCATTTGGAAATGCCAGCTAGTAGGAAGGGTACTATTGTCTGAGTAGATTGGCGGTAGGCGGAAATTGGCTTTGTTAGTAAGAAAATGTGGTGGTAAAAGTATTCAAGGAACCATTGGAATGAGTGGTAGAGATAAGATTTATAGAGGCAAAGAGGCATAGTTCAGGCTAGCAGCTATGACAATGGTTTCAGTAGAGATTTCAACCTTTTTTTCACAGCAAATGATAATTGATGAGACACTGCTCCCGAGTCAGGCATCTCAGGAAAACATAAACAATTGGAAGTGTAAATTCTATGTAATCCATAGCAAACCTGGCCAAAATTCACGGCACACTCTATGAGAACTAGTTATCTTGGGTCTCCTCTCCATTTGTCATCATTGTACTGTATTCAGGTGTTTAGGGTTGTTCGTGTCAGTCTAGGACATACTGTGTGAGGTCGTGGTGAGCTCATGTACAACATGTATAGGTATGGGAGAAAGAGATAGTGAAACAGAAATCAGATGTAAATGCTGCCTATCTGAATTATACCTGCTAAGCTTGATCCAGATCCCCTTCCCTAGACCAATAGCTGCAGGCAGTCACAACTCAGGCTACCTAACATCTAGTGTATAGGAGCCGGGCTTCCAGCAGGCACTTTCCTGTAGGAGGTCCCCCAATAAGTCCTCCCCTAGGCTTCAGGCCATCCAACAAGGACTCAAAAGCTGCCCTTTTCACCTTCAGTATGGATGGCTCTAGGTTTATTTGAAGTTCTGCCTTCAGTGTCTTTTTGAGTGAAAAATAGTATTACTCTTAAAATAGCCACCATCTGATAACACTTTAAGATTCACAAAAGTGTTTTACATGTAGCATATCATTTGATCCTAACAACCCTCTGAATTAGGTGCTACTATTATTATATAGACTTGAGGTTGAGAGATTAAATGACATGCCTGGGATCACAGAGCCAAATGAATGTCTGAGGCAGGATTTGAACTCAATTCATCCTTACTCTAAGACCCTTTCTCCAACCTGGTCTCCAAAGATTCCTCCTCTGGGCTTCAGGGATCCTCTGCTGCCATCCTCCAACTTCCTGGAGGTTCCAATGACTGATTGAAGGAACTTCTCCACCTCAGTTTTGACCTATCTTCTTTGTTCTAGTTAGTTTTCCAGAAGTAAATTGATGTCAAATGCAGTTCCTGGTTCCATTCTTTAGGTGACATTTGAGCTTTTCCAGCTACTGTCTATCCGCAGCCCTCTCTAGAATTCATGTGGCCCAGGTCCAAAAGGACTTTTGTTCTTCAGTCATGTATGACTCTTCATTGAGCCCATTTGGGGTTTTCTTGGCAAAGATATTAGAGGATTTTGCTATTTCCTTCTCTAGCTCATTTTACAGATGAGGAAACTGAAACAAATAGGGTTAAGTGACTTGCATTAGGTCACGTAACTAGCAAGTGTCTGAGGCTGGATTTGAACTCAAGTCCTTTTGACTCCAGGCTTACCTGCCCCAAGAGGGCTAAGAATCCAAGAGGACTAAGACATTTTATTATCTTTCCTGTATCTGACCTCACCATGCTCCTCACAACATGGGTCTTTCCAAACTAAATTTCTCTACAGTTGAAAACTTTCCACCGCTACCTACCTCCATCTCAGCACTCCATACCCTGCCTCCCCTATTAAGTTCCTATTTCTAGGATTCCTCTGACTTCCTGATCACTGGTTGAGCTAAGATAACAGATATATCCTGAGGCCAATAAATATTTCATACCCTTTTATGGGCCTACCTATTCCTCTCACTTCCCCATCTTCTTAGATGTTTGCATCAACCTGTCTTTTCTCCTTTCCCCAGGGGAGCGGTTTACTTAAATTGTCTTTAAATATAGGTGTTCAAAAGAATAACGCTTTACATAAGAAAACAGAAAAAAAATCTGCCTACAAATCTGGTACTACAAAAGGCCTGGAGAATTTTGGTGTCACATGAAGTTAGGTGAAACTTCAGCAGTTTATGCCCTGGGCTTGCTTTGGCTGCACTGTCTCAAAGGCAGCAAATTAAAGGGATCTTGTTTGCCCCTATCCCCAGTTGACTCCACTAAGACAAAAAAGGGCCTTGCAGCACATAATCAAAGATTTGGAAGGGACACTCCAGTCCAATTTCTCAAACCACTCTTCAGCTCACTTGGTTATCATCTTCTACTTAAATATTCATGGTACTGTAGGGAGAGTGTAGAGTGGGAGCAGGGGCTTACTGCTCTTCTGGCCTTGGGTAAGTCACTTCATGATTCTTGGGTTCGTGGCTTCATCTGTAAAATGATGAGATTGGACTAGATGACCTCTAGGGTACCCTCAACTCTTAACCTTATGACCCTATAAGCTTCCAATGATAGGGAACTCACAACTTTAACAAGTAGACCATTCCATTTGGAGATGTCTCTAATAATTTCTTATGCTGAGCTGAAATCTGCCTTACTCCCAACTCACCTCACTCTCTGGAGTACTCCACCTCCTCACCAGTAGCCTTGCTCATACCAACATGCTTCTACCCCAGGGCCTGCTCCCTTGATTGGTGAATACCTGACCTGATTTGACATTTCAAACAGACTTACTTTCCTCCCAGCTTAGCTCACTCTCTGGACTAATCCACCTCCTCACCAGCAATCTTGAGTACACTCCTCTCACCCTTCCCTTGCCAACTCACCTTGATGTTTTTGTTCTCTTAGAATATAAGCTCCTTGAGAGGAAGGGACAATCTTGTTTTCTTGTATTTGTATCCACAGCATTTAGTACAGTGCTTGGCACATAGGAAGGACTTTGTAAATGCTTTATCTCTACCTGCCTAACAATTTATGTATCATCTATCTATCTTCTACCCATCCATACATCCATCTAACATCCACCCATCCTTCCATCTATCATCCATATATCTATCTGTCTTTCTATCTCACTTTTAGCCATTGATCCCAGAATAAGTTCACTTGCATCTGATGTGAGTTAGGATGAGAACATGAAAAGAGAAAGGTACTTGGGAATCTGGGTATGGAAGAGAATAACATGCAAGGAGCCCGGAAATGCAGGTTTAAGCCAGATTGTAAAGGATGTTAAGTGTCAAGATGAGGAATGGGTATTTTATTTTAGAGGCACCAGGGTGCCACCAAAGATTATTTAAGTGGCATGATTAGACTTGCATTATAGAAAGATTATTTTGGCAATTGTTTGGATGATTGGGAGGGGGTGATGAACAAAGTTGTTTGATTAGGTCTATTCCCTATTTTAGTCCAAGCCTAAGCTTCCTTTGGCTACCCCCCCAACCAATCTTGGGAGGGGGAGCAGCTAAGTGGCACAACAGGCAGCTAGGTAGTGCAATGGAATAGAGTGCAAGGCCTGAAGTCAGAAAGACTCATCTTCTTGAGTTCAAATCTGGCCTCAAACACTTACTAGCTATGTGACCTTGGACAATTCAGTTAGACCTTTTTGCCTCTGTTTCTCGTCTGTAAAATAAGCTGGAGAAGGAAATGGCAAAGCATTCCAGTATCTTTACCAAGAAAATGCCAAATGGGGCCATGAAGAGTCAGATACAACTGAAACAACTGAATGACAACAACAAGCTCAATCTTGACCACCAGTTTTGTTGGTTTTGCTCCTGTGTAACTACAAAACTGTTGGGGGGAGGGGAGCTCAATGGAAAAAGATAAGAGAATTCTTATCTAGGATTCTTCTTTAACTCTAACACAAAGCATTGCCCTCCTAACTCCCTGCTCTGCTCCTTAGCAGGTGCTACATTTCAGCATAGCTTGTTGAGTTGAATCAGGGTCTTCAGCACCCAGGAGAGCTCCACTCTGAAACCTTTAAGTCCACACTATAACTGGTGGTTTTCCCATTTCAAATGGCTACCCTTCAAACTAGTAGTTTCAATGATTCAGTTCCTTATTCAGCAAACCCATCAACAAATTCTTCCCTGCCGGCCTATAGGGAACTCTAGCCTCTGAAGCCACGTGAAAATAACAAAGTGTTCTAAAGGCAGAGCCAGGAAAGAAAGATATCTTCTCCTTTGTTACCTTGCTTTTCTGACTGTTGAGCTCAACTTAGTAGGTGTGAAGACTGGCAGATTCATTAGACAGGCTGAGCCTCCACAAACACACCTAGCCCTGGGAGAGCGGGGTGGATTCCTCCCAAGCTCTCTCCACTCAGAAATGAGTCCCTGTGCTCCTTGCACAGTAATTGGTCTTAATTAGGTTGTGGGAAGGAGCTTCTTTAAATTCCTCAGAAAATAAGACTTGTCATCCTCTTAACATCTTAACATCTGTTCCTCTCGCCCTCTGCTGCTTTCCCCCCTCCTTTCCTCTCTCACAATTGGCCATGGTAGGGCACTGAAGGACAAGCTTCCATCCCCTCCAGAGGCCCATCCTTGCCTAAACAGTGCTAAGGAGCCTCGACTCCAGAGCAATGAAACATGGCCAGCACTTCCCTGTATCCCTTGGTCCTGGACTGATGCAGCTTTGCTTGGGTGAGTACTATTTCCGAGGCTCTCAGAAAGGACTCCTGGGAGAAGGAGGAATCCTTCCTCATTGGGTACTGGGGGCACCAGGAAATTTGGTAGTATCAACATGAATAGGGTACCTCTGCTTTATTTTCACAAAGAGCAGATCTGGGTGATTTCATTTTAGATGGGTTATTGACTGTGCTTAACTTGATGACTAATGCCTGTCTTTTGCTTTGTTTTGTTTTTACTTTTTTTTAAATGATGTCTCACAGCAAGTAAGTGGTTATATTCCTTCTGGTTCCCTGCTACTTTTGGTAGATGTAACTTCCAAACAGTTACCAATAAAAGAGGTTCTTTTCCTTGGCTTTTTTGCCACATGTATTCAACGCATTCCTGTGCCTGTGTTTCTGTGGACGTTCATGCCCTTAGAGTGTCTGTGTCTGTGTTATTGGTGAGAACTGGTCATAATAGCTTTGCTGGAAACAGAACTTTTGGTATTTTGAATTCTGTTTCAGTGGCAGTGTGGGCTAGTGGAAAGGGTAGCTAGCCTGGGCATCAGGATACCTGGGTTCTAATCCCAGCACTTACTTTACGTTGTTGTGTGACTTTTAACATCATTGCACCTGGTTTTCTCATCTGTATCATAAGGGTGTTGACCTAGAACATGGGATCTTAGGGTCTATGAATTTGGGGTTTTTTTTAATATTTTGATCAATATATTTCAATATAATTGTTTTTTTCCAATCTGGGTATTTTATTTTATTCATTTAAATATATTTTTCTGAGAAGAGGTCCAGAGGTTTCACTAGACTGCCTCAAAGGGATCCATGACAAACAAAAAAAGGTTAAGAACTCCCAGACTAGAAGATCTCTAACATTCTTTTTAGCTCTAACACTTAAGGGCGATGGATTCTCTGAGTACCTAGTTACTGTGAAACTCCAGGGTTCTTGTTGTCAGGTCTTATGGGGGCAAGGTGTCCCTCTAGGGATGTGGTGTTAGAGATTCCTTTCTGAAAGGGATACAAGTTCATTAGTGTCACTGAGTATATTATGAGCTAAAGGGATTCCCCCAGGAATTGGTCAGAACACAGAGCTGGGTTGGAGAAAGCCAATTCCACTGGGTTTGCAGTGCAAAGAACTCCTTTGTGTTTTGTTGTTTTCCAGCCCAGGCGAATTTTGCTCCTTATTTCTTCGACAATGGAGCCAGCAGCACGAATGGAAATATGGCCCTTTTCAGCCTTTCTGAGGACACCCCTGTGGGTCAGTATGATGACGTGGTAGTTACAGTGTAATAGCTGTCATTTGTGCTTTTCTCTTTTATACTCTTGGGATTGAAAAAGCCTAATGGCTCATAATTAGCCTGAGGAAGAGATGAGTTTAGGAAAGAGCTTCCACTGTCTGCATTTCACCATTTTCCTCCTCACAAACCTTACCTCACTAAACCAGAAATCACATGTGTGTTCAGGGAAGGGATAAAGACATACGGTATAAAAGCCAGTGGTCTTTTGGCCTAGTTAAGCTGTCTTACATTTTAGCAATTGTCAAATGCCTCTAACAGCCTGACAGACTATGAAGAGTCTCAGAGGAAGATGGACTAGTTAAGGGAATTCAATTCAACAAATGCTGATAAAGTGCCTACTATGTACCAGGTATTATGCTAGGTGGTGAGGATACAAAGGCAAAAATAAACAAACAAACAAAAACTCCTGATACTGCCCTCAAGGAGCTGAAAGTCCACATTGGGGATGTGGTGTGTACACAGATAAGTAAAAAATGAAGTGGTTTCAGAAGGTTTGAACATTAACAATTGAAAGGATCAGGAAGGTCTTGGCAGAGGAGGTGTCACCTTAGCTGAGCAGAGAGAAGCACTATGGCACCTCGAAACATATATGGTCCTGGGAGTCAGAAGACCTGAGATTTAACCTTACTCCAGTGACTTACCAGTTACATGATAACCCATGGACAAGTCACTTAAATTTTTAGAGCATTAGTTTGCTCATCTGTTAAGTGGGGATAATAACATTGCAATAACTACCTTACATGATTGTTTTGAGGAAAGTGCTTTGTAAATCTTAAAGTGCTAGAGAAATGTGTTATTATTAAAGGGTGGTAAGAATTCAGGATTACGGTGAAGAGTGTTTGATGGGGAAGGGACTAATTATCCAGCTATGAGGGAAATATTTATTTAATATTTTCCCCTCCATCATGAATTGTTGGAGAGGGGGGCAGAAATGATAGGGACTGGACTCTTCATGTTGAAGGAAGGGAGAAAGGAGGAGCAGGGGCCCATTGCCATCATCACTGTCATGATGAAAATCACTGAGATATCGATTTTTTCCAATCCTGGTTCCCAGGGTGTGTCTCAATGTCAGATATTCCTTTGGTAGTTTTCCTTGGAAGCAAAGTCTTACCTTGTGACCTTGAAGCAAACCTTTTTCTGCTCATTGATGGTTTCTGGAAAACTGTGTTATATGAGGTTAGCTTTCCTGACATCTTGTGCTTCCCATTCTCAGTGTGGGGGCAGGTGGCCAGCTGTTTTAATTCACTGTCCCCACCCCTTCCCTCTCACCCACAGAACACCTTTGCCAGAATTAATGTCTATTCTGTATTACATGCACCTATTGTCACCCTCCCCCACCCCCTTAGACCGGAAGTTCCTTGAGGACATGTACTATTTCAGCTTTTTCTTCATATTCTCAGTACCAGATTAGATGACTGGCACAAAGTAGACAGACAATAAATGTTTGCTGATTGATTTACTGAAAACTGCAGTCAACAAATATTTATTGAATAGCTGCCATGTTTAGGCCACTGTGGGTAGGGGAGACTCTGAGCATGTGGAAAGAGGCAGTAGCAATGAAATGAATATTTTTATGTCTCTTTAAGGTTTATAAAACCCTCCTCACAGCATTAGAAAATAATGCTAGGTTTGGAGCTAACTTCACTTGAGCCCAAATTCTAGCTATGTTACTGCCTGGGTTGATGTGAGACAAGTCTCTTAAACTATCTGAGTCTTGGTGTCATCTGTGTAATGAAGGGATTGGACAAGATGGCACAAGTATTATTATCCCCTTTTGTGGAGGAGGAAATTGAGGGTCAAGGAAGTAAAATTACTTGCTCAACATCCCGCAGTTATTACATGGCAGAGTCAGGACTCCAACCTAATTCTCCCAACTCCAGTGGTTTTTCCATTATGCCACAATTGCCAAATATAAGACGAAGTGCTTGTCTTCTAGGAACTTGCAACTTGGTTGGGGAGACTAGACTAAAACACATTGAAAGTTGATGAAAAGTATACAACAAAATTACCACAAGGTAGTCTATCTATGCTAAATGCCAAATAAATGGTTATAGATGTTAAGTACTACAAAGTTCAGAGGCAAGGAGGGATTACTGTGGGCCAAAGGAGTCAGAGAATGCTTGATGCTCCACCAAACAGAGACTCAACTGAGCCTTGAAAGATAGATAGGACTTGGATACACAAAAGAGTAGGGAAAATGTATTTGAGGCATGGTGAAGGATTATGTATTTATTTATTTATTTATGTTCTGTTGTATTCTCTCCCCCAATAAAATGTAAATTTCTTGAGGGCAGATACTATGTAATTTTTGCCTTTGTATCCCCACCTGAACATAGTAGGTATTCCATAAATGTTGGTTGAATTGGACCAAATTCAATGCAAAGGGATGAATATATGATGGTGGAATTTCAGATAGTCCAGCTCCCAGACAGGAGAAATTATTTCAAGCAGAGATCTTCCCTGGTCCATTAAGTCATATCACACAGATGACTGCCTTCCCTACTTACATGTAACGTCAACCTAGGTCCAATCTCTCTTTCCTAAGAAGAAATTCTCTCCTTAGATACCTATGAGTTTAGAGTTAGTCTGTTAAAAGTTCTCTTTAAATGTTCACATAAAGCAATTAGCATAGAAAAGCGTGGTGTCACAATAAAGGAGCCAGTCTTGAAGCTGGGGAGACTATCTTCAAGTCTTCTCTCTGACACATTGACTGCCAGTAAGTGTCATACTGGGCAAGTCACTTAACCTTCCACTATAAATTGAAAAGAAGCTTCCAACCTTATACCAAGTTCCTTATACCATGAAATCACAGGTTTAGCCACTGTTCCTCTTCCTATAGGAAAGTAATAAACTTATTCCCAAGATGAATGGAAATGATTTAGAAATTAATCAAATCATTGTTTTCTCATTGGTATAGATGTATAAGACTCTCTTGCATGTTCACAGAACCTGACTAATAACACTGATCTCCAAGTGATTTCAGGGAGCAGGTAACAAATAGATAGGATTACTGTAGGTATGCCAGAACCATTGCTAATGAGAAGCCTGAGAAATGCCTGCCTCTCTTGCATAGAGGGATTATTTCAGCATCTCCTCGTAAACCTGTTACTGGGGTGGAAAGACAGACTTGGATTTTACTTCCAGCTGGGGTGCGGAGGGGTGAGGAACAGATTAAGAAAGAGTTCGTGGAGGATATTACCCTTGATTAGGCACTTGAAGAAAAAAGGATTCCAACAGGTGAAAATGAGAAAGGAGTGTATTCCAAGCCAAGAAAATCATCTGCAAAAAGGAGATTGGGCAGGAAAGTGTCAGCTGAAATGAGAATAGGCAATGGTCCATTTTGACAGGAACGTAGAGTATGGGAAGGGCAGTGGCATGAGATAAGTCTGGGCTGGTAGGATGGAGGCAATTGGTGAAAAGCCTTGAAGATCAGACTGAAAAGTTCAGATATTTTTTTTCTATAGGCAATAGAGTCTATGAAATATTTGAACCAGATAGATATTAAGCAGATGGATGCAACAGAAGTGGATAGAACACTGAACCTGGAGTCAAGAAGAACTGAGTTCAAATTCTGATTCAGACATTAATTAGCTGCATGACCTTGGGCCACAGTTTCCCCATTTGTGAAATAAAGGAGTTGAGCTGGATGACTTTTAAGGTTCCTCCCAGCTCCGAATCTATGATCCTGACATATGGGCTTCCACCCTGTCAAGCTGGCTTATGGATTCCTGAGAAGGGAGCATATGTGAGAGATGGGGAGTCAGCTTCTGAGGATATTGGCTCTTCACCTAGAATGGAATGAATGCAATGGCAAGAGCAAATCTATGGCCTCAAAACCCCTGGGACTTAGAGGAAGAAATGTTCCTATTTCTTCTCAGCAGTGAGAGAAGCCCTCGTGAGCTTGAGAAGAGACACAGATATATTTGTTTCCTTTAATTACTGAAGGAAGAGTTTTAATTGACCTTTTTCTCCACATTTAAAAATGTTAGGAAGTGTGTTGCTGATATATGTGGTAAAGGAGATAAATGCGCAAGCTATCCTTGTAAATCCATGGTAAGAAGAGCTCCTGTTTGGTGGAGGAAAAAAAGCAAGAGCTCTCTGCCCAGGTCCCCAAGGTTCTCTGAGAGTGAGGGTTCATGGCAAGCTTGCGCTGGTAAATGTTTAACAACCAGCTTTTTGGTGGGGAGATGTACCCAAAATATACTTTCAGTTTAATCTGCATTATTAACATTTTCTAAATCACTTTCTTAAGTTTAGGCTATCAACAAAATAGGTAAGTCAAGCCCTGATTTGTAGCATTTGCCAATTTCCAAAATCCAAACATTCACACTGAAAATTTAACAATTGGCTCTCTTGAGCCCTGACAAGTTGGCTCAGAATACCCATGGTTTATGGGGAGAAACTAGAGTTGGGAGTCAGAGTAGGGATTCTCTGTGACCTAGGGCAAGTTCTTCAACTTCTCACTTTGATCAGCTATAAAATGAGTTCATATTCAATGCAGACTGTACAGTCACCCCTTCACTCTTTAAAGATGAGAGAAACAGTGTCTGTTAATGATGGGGGGGGGAGATGGAGCTGAAGAGATAGGGAAGTATGAATTAGACATTCTAATATTTTAACTATACTGCTATTAGAAAGGGAATGTAGTCGGGGGCTCTGGAGGACATGCCTGGAGTCAGGAAGACCTGGATTCACAGCCTGCCTTGCACCCATACTAACTATGCAAACAGTTGCCTTTCTCTGACACATACCGGTTATGGGACTCTGGACAAGTCAAGTAATCTCTGAGGGCCCCTAGAAGACTCTTTATTGCAGAATGGGAGCTACTACATTGAAAGAGGGAATTTCTTCTCTGGGAATTCCCTGTACCCATGAAACCTGTTAAAAAATTTTTGAAACAATATTAATAATTAATAATAATATTAATTTTTTTAAAGTAACATTTAAGGGCTTGCAAATTAAGTATTTTAATAAGCTAGATAGCAAGATTTTGTCTATATTAAATGAATTATTTGTTAAATGAATCAAGATTATTTACATATATATTTATACTTGGTTCAGACTCATTATTTAATTGATAGAATTCCTATTGAAGAAAATCCTTCTACCAATGCAGATCATCCTCTACTTTGCAACTTATAGTCTTGGGAATTTTCCTGTGGACACTGAGAGAAAAAAAGACTTGCTCAGAGTCATATAGCCAGTGTGCGTCAGAGGCCAGACTCAAACCCTAGGTCTTCCTGACTCCTGAGGCCAGATCTCTATTAGGCCTGATTGGCACATAGTAGGTCCTTAGCAAATTATTATTTACTGGATTTGACTCAAAAAGCATCTAATCCTGATGTTGGAAAGGGTCTTGGCTGTCACTTAAACCATCTCCCTCCCTATCTCCTGCCATATAGGTATAAAATACATTTTTGGAGATAGCAAGTCCATCCTCTTGGGAAATAAGTGATTTGTTCCAGCCCCATTAGACTATAAATTACAAATTATGCACACACACATGTGTGTGTGTATATATATATGTATATATGTATATATACATATATATACACACACATTTGTTTATATATTCATATATAAAATACATACACGAATGTATGTATATATGTACACGTGTGTGCATATATGCATACATACACGAGTGTATGTATATATGTACCTGTGTGTGCATATATACATGTGCATGTGTGTTATATATGTATATGAATGTTTATACACACACTAAGGGGTCATTGGCATTTCTGGGTTGGCTGGCTGGACCACAACAAACTAGAGTCAAGACAACAAGGCAAAGTGGAAAGAGAAGCTGGAGTCAGTTGCCCTGGCTTCAGCCCCAGTTCAATCATTTACTAGATGAGTGACTTGGGGTTAAATCGCCTTCTCTCCTCTTTGCCTCAGTTTCCTCATCTATAAAATGAGCACGCTGTGCATAAATGATCTCTCAGCCCCTTTTCATGCTAACAGTCTGTGAATCTAGTGCTGCACAGAGAGGCTAATCATCAAAAGTCGTCCGGCACCCTTGGCCCCCTTGTTCAATATTTCGCTTTTTAAGTGAATTGGCACAGTCTCTGATTCTATAGAGTTAAAGGCAAGCATATGCCTGCTTTCTATTCAAGAAGCAATTCCTTCGTCTCTTTTCCTTTTACAGGGAAAGTTGATTTTTTAGAAGAGATTGGGCCAGGTAGGACTCAGGAACATTGTAAAGTGGAAATTTCTTCTGTGCTCTCTCCACTTCCTGCACCTCAATTCACCTTTTGCCTTCTAACTCTCCTTTCAATGCTTTCATGTTCCCTCCCCATCTCATCCAGCAAATCTTGCTTGCAGAACACCTAATATTAGTCATTCGTACCATTATACGACCGTTACTGAGCTCCTCTCCCTGGGAGGTTTGCAATTGAAAGCTGATCTCTAGTGTAGGATGAAATTCTTCTTATTTAAATAGCAGTTTACAAAGTTTCCTTACCACAATCCCTATGAGCTATGTGGTGAAAGCATTGTTATCCCTAGTTTACAGTGGAGGAAACTGAGGCTCAGAAAGGTGAAATGTTATGCTCATGGTCCTAGAGCTAGGTCAGGGAGCTAGAGTCACTTATTTCCCAAGAAGATTCGTTTACCTTTGCCCAAAAGTCTAGTTTTTTGGGGGTGTAGTCAGGATTTGAACCAAAGTTTTCTGGCTCCATGCCCAGCTTTCATTCCAAAAGTCCTTTTGAAAGGAATTTCAAACATCAGATAGTTAGTGGGAGGGATAAGGGAGGGAGCATTGAAAAAAAATTCAAAGTTCTTTCTGCTATCTCCAGTATGTCCAACATTCTCCCCACTCCATCCTTTTCCTCGGTGTTTCCTCTGCTGGACTTGCCCTTTCCCATATCTATAGGTCCACCCACCAAAGTCCTATCCATCTACCAAGATCTAGTTCAGATGCTACCTCCTTCATGAGCCCCTTCCATGATCCTCTAACCTGGAATTTATTCCTTCTTCCTCCAAACTACTAGATATTATATACCTTATTAGTCTTTTAGACTTTCACATTGTACAGTAGTTAATTCCCTATTAGATTGTAAATTCCTTAAAGGAGGGGATTTTGTCTTGTTCTTTTTATCCTCCATGCCTTTCAGTGTCCTCAAATTATTTTTTGAGCAAATCCCCTGAACCACATCCCATAGGCAGCCACCCAATATTCCTACAGCTAGTGCTGTGGTTAGGGATAATCTCCTTGTTTCTTGCTTTTCTCTGTTTGGATTCTACTTCCCTTCTCTCCCCTACCCAGCATATCCATATTGGGTTGAATGCGTCTCAGATGAGAACCCAGGAGTAGAACCACAGTGAGAAAAAGAACTCATTGACCTGTTTCATTAATCTTTTTGTGACAAGCAAGGGAGATACCAGATAGCTCCTGGACAGTTTCCCATTCTCTGGCCACCGGGGTCAGGGCTCCATTGTCTCCAGGTATTTGTATATTTAGGGGAAAATGTATGTAACTCATTCAAAACCTCCATACCAGGAAACAGAATAAATTGCTCAGTGATTCTATCACTACCAACTCATTTAAAAACCAGTACAAGAGGCAATGTTAGTATGAAATATTTATAGGGTGTTCATAGGGTCTAAACTTAGTAGCTTTGGCTTTGATGAGTTCATCACTAGGTGACTTTGTGACTTATCTTTTTTCAACATCCAGACCCTCTTACATTTACTTCTGCACTCCAGGGAGCTGAAACAAATAACTTATTTCCCAAGAGGATGTACTTACCTAGCTCCAAAAGAGTAGCTTGCATCTATATGGCAGGACATAAGGCAGGAAATGGACTAAATGACCTCCAAGGTGCTTCCCAAAATCAAGATTAGATGCTTTTCACGTTAAGTCCAACCAACAATAACTTATTAAGTACCTCCTACATGCCAGTCAGGCCTGATAGACAGAGATCTGGTCTCAGGAGTCAGGAAATCCTAGGGTTCAAGTCTGGCCTCTGATACGTGCTGCTATATGACTCTGAACTAGTCATTTTTTCTTTCAGTGCCCACAGGAGAATCTCCAAGACTATAAGTGGCAAAGTAGAGGATGATCTGTATTGGTAGAGGGATTTTCTTTTTTTTTTCTTTTTTGGCAAGGCAGTCGGGGTTAAGTGACTTGCCCAGGGTCACCCAGCTAGTAAGTGTCAAGTGTCTGAGTCCGGATTTGAATCCAGGTCCTCCTGATTCCAAGGCCAGAGCTCTATCCATTGCACCACCTAGCTGCCCCAAGGGATTTTCAAGAGGAATTCCTTCTACCAATTAAATAGTGAGTCTGAACCAAATACAAATATATGTATATATGTATGTATACACACATTTTCAAATAATCTTGATTCATTTCATAAACATTTCATTTAATATAGACAAAATCTTGCTATCTACCTTATTAAAGCACTTAATTTGTAAGCCCTTAAATGCCACTTTTAAATTATTAACATTATTATTAATTGTTAATGTTGTTTCAAAAACATTTTTAATAGGATCCATGATTTCATTGGTTCAGGGAACTCCCAGAGAAGAAATTCCCTCTTCCAACATACAATAGCACCTGTTCTGCAATATAGAGTCTGCTAGGATTTTCTAGCAGCCCTCAGAGATTACTTGACTTGCCCAGGGTCTCACAGTGTGTGTCAGAAGCAGGATTTGAATGCAGATTTTCCCAACTCCAAGGCTGGATCTCTATTCATTCATTCATTCATTCATTCATTCATTCATTCATTCATCTGCCTCTCTCAGAATAATAATAATAATTGCTATCATCATCATAGTTATCATTATTTTTATTATTATTATTTAAATAATTACAAACTCAGTAAAGCAAAAAATATGAGACTGAATTACAGGGCTATTCTCCTTTTCAACTTTTCAGGCTCTCATGTGTACACACTGAATGGAACCGATCCAGAAGGAGACGTTGTCACCTATGGCATTAGCTTTGAGTCTGGTTCAAGAAATTTCTTTTCCATCGATCCAAACTTTGGAAATATCACATTGATTGAAGAGTTGGACAGAGAGGTATAGTGAAGCCCATGGTATCCATCTACATTAAGAACACATAAAAGATCTCTTCCCCAGGTGAAACATGAGCTTAAAGAAGTATAAAATCTATGCAAATAGGTCCCACTTTCAGCAAACCACTGTCTAAAAACTGTAATTTGCCAAACCAGTGAATTAAGAGATATGCCATGATCAGGGTTCCATACAGATGCTTGCTTGCATTCTTTCCCTTTGCCCTCTCTTCCCTCTCCTTATGTTTCAGGAAGCCAATGCTATGGAAATTTAGGTCTGTGATCTACAACCTGGCCCGATTATATTGGGGGCTTTCTGACAGTGTTGCTGGGTCATCTGTGTTCTGTGACATCCAGGGAAATATTTACAATGAAATCAGCTGCAATTTGGGATCCTTCCACTCCCCTGCCCAACTGAAAAAGTCTCTGTAAAGGGTAAAACCTTTGCCCATACCTGAATTAAAGGGTGTGGTATTGCTAAGGATGAAGGCATGTATCTCTATAGTTTAAAAAAACAAAGAGTTCTTAGCAGAAAGAATTCTTTAATTCTTCCTCAGAACAGGCAATTCTCTAGTGCATTTAAAATTAGATTTGTTAAAAAAAATTTGCTTCATTTTTCAGGAACATATTTATTGCATAGTTAGATGAACAGGTCCTTGGAAAGGGGCTCCTAACTCACAAGCTTTTAGAAGGGTAAAAGCTGGAAGAAAACTTTTGAAGTGTTGGTCTCTGCCTGATAAAAATACTACAAAGAAAATCCCAACTGTACTAGCAGTAGAAAGAGAACTGTTTTTAAAGTCAGAGAACTGGGTCAAACTCTACCTCTGATATGTGATGTTATCATGGTGCATGAGGCAATGTGGTGTAGCAGAAAGGGCATTGGATGTGGAATCAAGAAGATGGGTTCAAATTCCTTCTTTAGATAGCTTAATAGCTAGGAAAGTCACTTAACCTCTTTCTGCCTCAGTTTCCTGATCTGTTAAATGAGAGTTGGTCTCCATAACTCTAAGGTCCCTTCCATCTGGAATTCTATTATACTATGATAAGTCATTTAACTACCCTAGGGCTCAGTTTCCTCAACTGTGAAATTAGGAGGTGGGATTGGATAGTCTCTGAGGTCCTTTCTGGCTCAAGAACCTTACTTCTGTGAATATTCTAAGCCTCCAAGCCATATTCCACATGGCTTCCCTGGCTGAGTGAATTCAGTATTCAACAATTTGAATGTCAGGTTGGGGGGGAAATCTCACCCTTTATGGAGACTTTTTAGGTTAGGCAGGGGAGAAGAGGGATCCCAAGAACAGCTAGTTTTATTGTAAAGATTTCTCTGGATGTCACAGGACACAGGTGACCCAGCAAACAACCAGGCCAAGTTGTAGATCACAGACCTAAATTTCTTTTTTTAAAACAATTTATTTATTAATTTTTAGTTTTCAATATTCATTTCCATAAGATTTTGAGCTTAAAATTTTCTCCCCCTCATTCTCCTCCCCCCTCCCCAAGATGGCATGCAATCTGATATAGGCTGCACTTATACATTCATATTAAGCATATTTTCACATTAGTCATGATGTAAAGAAGAATTAGAACCAATGGGAGGAACCACAAGAAAGAAGAATCAAAACAAAACAACAAAAGAAAAGGAGAGCAAATAGTATGCTTCCATCTGCATTCAGACTCCATATTTCTTTCTCTGGGTGTGGATAGCTTTTTCCATCATAAGTCTTTTGGAGTTGTCTTAGATCCTTGCATTGCTGCAAAGAGCTAAGTCTATCAAAGTCAGTCATCACACAATGTGGCTGTTACTGTGTATGATGTTCTCCTAGTTCTGCTCACTTCTCTCAGCATCATTCCATATAAGTCTTTCCAGGTTTTTCTGAAGTCCACCTGCTAATCATTTCTTTCTTTCTTTCTTTTTAGTGAGGCAATTGGAGTTAAGTGAGGCAATCGGGGTTAAGTGACTTGCCCAGGGTTACACAGCTAGTAAGTGTCATGTGTCTGAGGTCAGATTTGAACTCAGGTCCTTCTGATTCCAAGGCCGGAACTCTAACTACTGCACTACCTAGCTGCCTCTGTTCATCATTTCTTATAGCACAATAGTATTCCATTACATTCATATACCACAGCTTGTTCAGCCATTCCCCAGTTGATGGGCATCCTTCAACTTCCAATTCCTGGCCACCACAGAAAGATCTGCTGTAAATTTTTTTGTATGTGTGGGTCCTTTTCTCATTTTTATAATCTCTTTGGGATACAGCCCTAGAAGCAGATCTAAATTTCTACAGCATTGGCTTCCAGAAACATAGGGAAGGGAAAGAGAGGTCAAAAAGAAAAGAATGTCAGCAAGCATCCTTCTGGAACCTTGATCATGGCATATCTCTTACTGCAGCCATATGTGTTATTCCATAGACTAGGGATTGGTTTCATCATATTGGGAACTCCCAGGTAAAGAAAACTGCCTCTGCCAATGGAAGTCAGTACCAATTGCCTAGAGCACTGAAGGGTCATGTGCCTTGCATAGGATCACGCAACCAATTTGTGCCAGAGGCAGATCTTGAACCCAGACAGGTATTCCTGACTTTGAGGCAAGTCCTCCATCCTCTACACTATGTTGTCATTAGTTTCTTCTTCAACTCTGAGTCCTAGGGTGATTTATTGATCCTTCCAAAATGAAGCTACCCAAAAAAGATGTCCCCTTACTCAGACAGCCCCTTCAGGAAAGGAGCCTGGTTTTGCCCTAAGCTGGACTTACCACTCTACCCTTCAAGCTTGACTTGTTTTAAGGCCCACATGTTTGAAATTCCTTTAGTACACACCAGGTGTCAGGTGGAGGTCTTGGCTTCAAGAGTCCTTGGCTTCAGGAATGACTGTGATACCTCAGCCTCTAGACAACCTCTTTTTTTCTTTCTTTCTTTCTTCTTTCTTTCTTTTTCTTTCTTTCTTTCTTCTTTCTTTTTTTTTTTTTTGCAGAGAGAGGATGAGATTGAAGCCATCATCAGCATCTCTGACGGCCTAAATAAAGTGAGTAGTGGGAGTCTGAAGGGCCAACCAAGGAGATCTGCAATCTCAAGGCCATATGTGGCCTTCTAGGTCCTTGGGTGTGGCCTTTTGACTGAGTCCAAGTTTTACCAAACAAATCCTTTTATTGAGGGGATTTGTTCTGTGAAGTTTAGATTCAGTCAAAAGGCCACATTTGAAGACCTAGAGGGCCACATGTGGCCTCAAGACCGCAGGTTCCCCACTCTAGGGCAAAGCTATCAGAAGCAAGCATGTCTGGCAATCTGTGGACTGCCCATAACTCACACAGAGCTGAGGTAATTGGAGCAGCAGACATTTCAACAGGCATCAGGAGCACTTTCGGTCCATTTTGAGAAAGTTGCCACAATCAAGAAGTTCCCTCCCCTGGAAGAGGTCTATGAAATCCAAATGGAATTTTGACCAAGGCAGATTGAACACTTCCCATAGAAAGGCAGATGTCTGTGGCACATTGTGCCAAGTAGCCTGTCATGGGCTACACACTTAGAGCCTTTTCCATATCAGGATCAATTCCCAGTCACCAGAAATACCTTTTGTCTGGTATTTTAATGTGAACAGTGCTGTGATTACTGAAATATAGCGTAACCAAGGTCATGTGACAACATCTATATTATTAATGTGACTGCCATGAAAGGTGATTCTTTATAGAAAACAGTTCATGTAGATAGTTTGCATTGTCTAGGTGGTTCTTTTGGTCCTTGCCCTCTCCATAACTGATTCAAGGCATGAACCCATCTATTACCCTATGTGGCTAACTCTACGACATTAAAGATGTAGAGAGGAGAGTTATTGAAATTTTTTTTAGCTTTTGTTGATATTTTTTATTTTTATATCACCTTCAAGTCCCAGGACTTTCTACAGGAAGCCTTTCCATTCTCCATTTGTTCCAGTGCCTTCTGTTAATCATCTCCAATTTATTCGTCTATGGTACATATGCACATAGCTATATACATGGCATCACTCCAATTAGACTGTGAACTGCTTGGGAGCAAGCACTGTCTTTTCTCTTCCTTTGTATCTCAAATGCTTAATGCAGAGGTTCCCAAACTTTTTTGGCCTACTGCCCCTTTTTAAAAAAATTACTCAGTGCCCCCCTGGAAATCTACTTTCTATAACCCTTTAGTGTTTTTTTTTTGAAATTGCATCGTATGTGTGTGTGTGTGTGTGTGTGTGTGTGTGTTTAATATGAATGATACATCTTAAATTTAATTATTTATTGTAAATTTGTGATTTTTTTCCCTGCATTGAAATTTTAATGATTCAATATTGTGTCATGTAACCATACAGTAGCATATTGTAGACACGTCATTAATACACATATTCTTCCTAATGCATGCTAGATTTCCTGACAATGCCAGACACAGTCACCCGCCAACACTTGCTTGTTAAGACCTGTCAGTGGATTTCACCACTGATCAGTTATAACTTGTATTTTGTGTGTTTATTTGGAAAATAATGTAATCACTATAACTTTAACTCTGTTACATAACAGATGAAACATGTACGAATGGTTTTTCAAAATTTTCTTACCTTCTTTTCTTTCCTTATGCTTCCACCAGCACCTTATTTTTATTCAGCACCCCCAATTATACCCCAGGCCACAACTGCTCCCCTCAGTCATTCCAGCACCCCCCAGAGGTGGTATCACCCACTTTGGGAATCTATGGAATGCATTGCTTGGTACATAGCAGATGCATAATAATGTTTATTGACTAACTTCATTTCTAAATATAACCCTCCCCTTTCTGCTACCCACAATCATTCCTTATAACAAAGAATGAAAAGGAAAGAGAAAAAAACTTCAGCAAAATTAACCAACACATCAACAAGTCTAACAGTATATAACATATTTCACATCTATTGCCCCCCATTTCTGTAAAGAAGGGAAGGAGGTATATTTTTCCATCTCTTCTCAGGAGCCAAGTTTAGTCACTATAATTTGTGTTTAGTTTTTTTTTGTTCTTTCCCCCTATATTTTCTGTTCTCTCTCTCTCTCTCCTCTCTCTCTCTCTCTCTCTCTCTCTCTCTCTCTCTCTCTCTCTCTCTCTCTCTCTCTTCTCCTCTCTCTCTCAATGTATGTATGTATGTATAGCAGCTAGATGGCCTGGAGTCAGGAAGACTCATCTTCATTAGTTCAAATCTGGCCTCAGACACTTATAGCTGTGTGACCCTAAGCAAGTCACTTACCCTGTTTGCTTCAGTTTCCTCATCTGTGAAATGAGCTGGAGAAGAAAATGGCAAACCACTCCAGCATCTTTGCCAAGAAAACCCCAAATGGGGTCATGAAGAGTCAGGCACAACTGAAACACTGAACAACAACAAAGATAGATATATAGATATAGACACACACACACACACACACACACACACACACACATACGTGTGTATGTATCATCCTCAACTCCTCTCTCTCAGCCTCCTTATCCAATCTGCTGTCATAGCTTATTTTACCTACATAACATCTCTCATATATGCAGATAGATAGTATAGTGGATAGAGTGTGAGGGAGAGAAGTGGGAAGAAGAGGAGGAGGGGGGAGACAGATGGAGACAGAAAGATAGAGACAGAGACAGAAATGGAGAGAGAGAGATAGAGAGGGGGGAGAGAAAGGGGGCAGGAAGTTCTTGGTTCTGTTTAATTCACTTTGCATTCATTCATATGCGTGTGTGTGTGTGTGTGTGTGTGTGTGTGTGTGTGTGTGTCTTCCCATGCTTCTCTGAATTCTTCATATGCCTCTTTCTTTTGGTGTGGTAATAGACCACTATGTTAATGTGTTTAGTCATTTTCCAACCAACAGGCATCTAGTTTATGGAGCTCTTTGTTTAATATTTAGAATGTAGGCTCTAGAGAGGCTAACAGATTGGGAGAGCAATTTTCAGTATTATTCTTCCAGGTTTGTAGATAAGCACAGTCATAAGTGCTGAGCAAACGATTCCTGCAGGGCATTAATGGTGACATAATTAAGGGTATAGGCAAGATTTTAGAAATTACTGTCACATGGAGCAGGTAATTAGTTAAAACTATTAGCACGATCCCATCTTCAACAGAATGGGCATGGCTTGGGGTATCAGAAAACGGGCAAAGATAAGTGCCTTCAATAAGTCAGAACTTTATTTCTGTGAAAAGATTCCAGAAAACGTTGCAGTATACATACCATACACAAAATGTTAGGGACCTGAAAAGGGATAAAATCACCACATTGCACCCCAGTGCCTCAAGCATGTATGTATTACACCCCACTCTAGAATCTCTGACTATGTAGCTTTTCCCATGTAAATCGATTTGAACTAGGACCACTTACACAGTAAGTGTCCCTGCCCAGTTTTGTTCTGGGCCTAAATGAAAACCAAAGACCATCTATTAGTGGCTATTTCTATGACAGTCTGACAACATATGGGTCCTCATTCATGCTTTCTCTGCCATTCTCAGGTGGCAGAGAAAGTCCTGATTCTGGTGACCGATGCCAATGATGAAGCCCCCCAGTTTATCAACACTCCCTACGTCATCCTTGTCCCTGAGGTGAGTAGTATTTCACCCAAAGAGAGAACCAAGCCATTGAGTAAAGAGACATGGACGTACTACCTTGGGTTTTGGCTCTGAACAGGGAGGGGCCTTTGGGGGAATGGATTGGGGAATAACATTGGAGCAAGCAAAGTATGAAGTTAAAAGATTTCCTCCCTCTTTTCCCTTGATAGCTTCGTTCCATTCCTTTCTCACTCTTTCATTCTCATTCCCAGTCCCTCGCTCATTCTCTTGTGGGCCATTTCTCTTGTCACTTTCCATCTCCTTTTTTCCCCTCTTTTTCTTTCTTCTCATTCTGCAGTGTAGTCATCCATTGCAGATGAATCCTTCCATACACATTGGGCCTCCTTATCTTCCTGAGCTCTCTCACTTCAGTCTCCCTGCCCTTTCACTCACTCTTTAGCCCTCAATTTCTCAGGGCCCAGTGGAGGGGGAAGAGGGGAAGGGGAGAAGGGGGGAAGGGGAGAAAAGGGGAAGGGGAAGGAGTCTACCCTGATTTCTCGGTAAATAAGAATAGTGCAGGTGCTGGTACTAAAACCCCAATGTGATTCTGTGACCCCTCCCATAGGACACACCTGCAGGGAGCAGCATCTTTAAGGTTCAGGCTGTGGACAAGGATACTGGATCTGGAGGAAGCGTCACTTATTTTCTACAGGTAGGATCCTGGGAATGGGTCAGAGTATTGGGCTTGGTCCATTTCTTTGGCTCAATCTCTAATTCTCCCCAGATAGATGCTTCTTATTTCTCATATTACCAAAGATTCCAGGACCTTCCTTAGATGTACAAGAGGAAGATATGTATCCCTGGAGGCAAGGAATGGAAGTCCACATTGCAAGCCATTCAAGGGGAAGGGAAGGGTAGAGAATATGCACTTATTAAGCACCTACTATGTGCCAGGAACTGTGCTAACTGTTTTACAAATAGTACCTCATTTGATCCTCACAACTCTGTGAGGTAAATATTATTGCTATCCTCATTTTACAGGAAACTGAGTCAGATGGAGGTAAAGTGAGGAAACTGAGTCAAATATAGGCAAAGTGATTTGCCCAGGGTCACACAGCCAGCAGTTCTTAGGATCTGGATTTGAACTCAGGTCTTCTTGACCCCAGGCCCAGTACTCTATCCACTGTTGCCTCATAAGGTAACCCAAGAAGTCCTGAACTAGTCATCAAGAGATCTGGGTGGTCCCATCTCTGACACAGACTAGCTGCACAAACTTTAGGAAGTTACAACATTGCTGGGCCTTGATGCAAAAGGACTCCATGATGTGAAAGTCCATGAGCTTAATTAGGGACAAAAAATATTGTGAGAATACCTTTTTGGCTGCTACCCTTACAGAAATCACCAACATTCACACTTTGTGAAGTTCTGGATGTTTTTTTTTCTTACTTTAATCTCTTACAGCCTCAGTTACTCCTCACTGCCGCTTCCCAAATAGCATCCCACTCCCATTCTGATTTTAGGCCTTGGTACTATCCAGGACAAAGTTTATATCTAGTAATAGGATATTAATACCTACATGAAATGATCTGTGGCACACTGAAAACCCTCCCATTCCCAATTCTGTCCCCAATTTATCTATCTCATTGACCTACCACAGAGCCTGAAATTCCCACTATTAATTTCATTCCTTTGGATTTACCCCAGGCCCTAACGCAATGCAAATAGCTCACTTGGGAGGGTTAGTATACCAACTCTTCAGCAGGCATTAGCAGATTAGCAAAGAGCTGGAGGAAGCCCAGTCCAAACTGGCTCAGAGTGCTACCGTCAGGTCAAGCCAAGGTTCCCATCAGCTAACAAGGTAGGACCATGGCCATCTGCTTAGCTTTGCAGGTGCCCCCCAAATATCCCCTCCCCTTTTTCCCTCCAGCACCCTAAAGCAAATTCTCTTCAAATCAGACCACTGTCTTCTCTGGCCCCAGACAGATCATGATGATTTCTGTCTGTGTTCCTGAACTGTCCTCCTTTCAGCTATCCAAATTCTAGCCCATCTTTCAAGGCCCAGCTTAAGTACCACTTTTTTTACAAAATTTTCTATGACTTCAGCCTATGCTGATGATAGCATAGTGTGTCAGAGCTGTCAGGTACCACCAACCCTTTCATTTCTGAGATAAGGACATTGAAGCCCAGAAAGATAGAGGGACTTTAAGAGAGATTGTCTGGACTTTTCTGCCTAGCTTTCAGGATCTAGACTACACCACTGGTCATCTGATTCCCAGCCTAGGGCTCTTTCTAATACATAGAATCTTAGAATCCTATAATCAAGCCCTCAGAGGTCTTCTCAGTCCTCAGCCAAAGTATGAATCTCATCCATGACCTCTATGACAAATGGTCACCCAATCTCTACTTAAGAAATTCAGTGATGGAGCAATCTTCATCTCCCAGAGAAACTGGTTCCACTGTTAGACAACAGTAATTGTTCAAAAGCTCTTTTTCCCCCCTTTCATTGAATAGACATTTGTTTGCCTGTAACTTTGAACTTTTGGCTCCCATTCTATCCTCTGGGATTAAACAGAACAAGCCTAAATCCTTTTCAATGTGATGACCCTTCACAAACTCGAAGACAGTTATGGAAACCCTTTTTCTGAACTCCTATTGAATTACAGTAATACTTCCCTTTTATAAAGTGCATTTCAGTCTACAAAGTTGTCTCTTCTGATCCTCACAACAGCCTTGAGAAGCAGGCGGAAACAGAAAGGACCTTGGAAATTATCAAGTCTAACCCCCTCATTTTAATTAAAATTATTAGATTATGGGATTTAAATTATTAAACACATTTCAAGTGATTTTTCCAAAGTCATACAAAGTTAGAGGCACTATTAATACTCAAATCCAAGTCTCCTAATTCCAGATGCAGGACTTTTCCCACTAAAATGTGATGGCACACCTCTTCAGGGCCACACAGATTAGCATTGATCAAATGAGATAATATTTGCAAAGTTCTTACATAGTCTAGCACATAATAGGTGCTTAATAAGTAGGTGTTCCGTTTCCCCTTGATCATAGACCCTTAATTCAGAATTGGAAGGAAACTGAGCAAAGATCTATTCCAATCCCTTCATTTTATAGATGAGGAAATGGAGGTTCAAAGAGAAAAGAAGGAAGGAAAGAAGGAAAGGAGGGAGGAAGGAAGAAAATAAGCATTAATGAAGCACCTACTGTGTACCAGACATTGTGCTAAGCACTTTATAAATATTATCTCATTTAATCTTCACAACAACCCTGGGCATTAGGTGCTATTATTATTGCCATTTTACAGATGAGGAAACAGAGACAGAGGTTAAGGGACTTGTCCAGAATCCCATAGCTAGTAAGTATCTGAGTCAGGATTTGAACTCAGGTCTTCTTGATTTCAGGTCCAGTTTTCTGTATTCACCGCACCACTTGGCTGCCTCTAGAGTTGCGACATTATTTCTATGCTGCCTCTTCTGTTAGTTGTTCCTTTTCCACTAACTCCTTCTTTTGAATTAACCATGTCTTCTTAAAATAGACAATGAATAACCTGACAGCAGGACGCTTCCCCCCACCCCACTGCATTTAGCATAGTGCTGAGCACATAGTATGTGCTAATAAAAATTGTAGATTAACTGACAGATTGAATCTTATCTTAAATTCATGCTGTACAAGCCTACCCAGAGCCATAACTAGCCATGGGTGAATGGGGTTTTGTCCCAGGGCCCCAAGATTTCAATCTCCATTCACCAGATAATGTAACCACCTGCAGACCACAACCCCAGGTCCTGTAACCTTGGTACCCTCCTTGCTAGCACTGCCTTCCCAACTGTCCCCTGTCCCTAGAAGAATGCAAGCACTGTCCACTTCCTGCCTGCTGCCCATCTCCTGCCTCAACTGCTTTTGCCTTCAGGTGAAAATCTGTTCAGTTCTATTTCTAAGATCTTTCTTTGCTTTAGACAGCCTTTTGAGATGGGTGTGGGCAGGCTTTTCTCTGGCAGGCAGAAATTATTTGGGACCAAACTGCTATATCTGAAGGGATTTGGGGTAAATGAAAAAAGGAAGGAAGATGAAGCCACCTATTCCCAAGTACTCATGGAGAGGTCTAATCTGCCCAGCTCTGTTACACTTTCAGTAATCCCTGCTCAGCAATCACAGCCATTTGGCAATCAGGGGCCTGGGGAGAGGGGGATGAGGGCAGGGACTGAAGTGGGTCAGAGCCACGTAGCTCAGTACAGATTAAAGGTAATCCTTTAGATGAGAGGAAAGCCAGGATAGAGGCTTTGTGGACCAAGAAAAATCAGTTTAAAGGCACAGGCCAATGGTCTTTGTCCAGCTAGAAATTCAACTCAAAGATATTTGTTGAGCTTCTACCATATTTAATCTTAGTACTATTTTAGACATTGTAAGGGAACCATAACAAAGAATCTGGAAATAAAAAGCAATAACAACAACAACAAAGACTCTAAACAGCCCAAAATGGACATCACAAAGTTTTTACAATGAAGTTTGGCTTAGGAAAGCCTATCCATCACTCACTCGGAACCTATTTCCTTTTACACAATTTTGACAACCTGGGTAATCTGGCTTCCCAACCCACATAGTAAATAAAAAGCAACAAATAAAAAGGATGCCTGCAGGCACCTCACAGCAGGAAAAAGTAAAGGCTAAAAGGCCAACAGGGGGAAAAAGAAGAAGTATAATATAAAAAGGTGTCACATCTCTGGGAGCCAGTTTGCTGCTCTGTAAAATAGTAAGGAGATTGGACTGGGTCAATCATTCCCAGCCTTTCAAGTGTAAGGATAGGCTTTTACTTTCAAGACATATTTTGGACTCTACAAATCATAGTATTGTTTGTATCTGTCAAATGGGTACAAAAAGTGGCACTTTCAAATGAACGCTTTTAAATTAATTTGTGCATTATCCATAATCACAGCCTCCACACATTTTAAAAATAGTAGATAGAGCGCCAAGCTTAGAGTCAGGAAGACTTGAGTTCAGAACTGGCCTCAGACCTTACTTAGCTGTATGATCCTGGGTAAGTCACTTAACCCTATTTGCCTCAGTTTCCTCATCTGTAAAATAAGCTGGAGAAGGAAATGGCAAACTGCTCTAATATCTCTGGCTAGAAAACCCCAAAGGAGTCACAAAGACAAGATTGAAATGATTGAACAACAACAATGCATGTGTAGGGGGTTATAGTTATACCCAAGTCTCAGGTCAGCTTCATAAAGCTTCATAGAAAGCTTTTTGAGGAAACCGGAGGTAGGCATGTCTGCCAAGACAAAGAAAAAAGAACATGAGAAGAGAGGAGCCCATGGGCCAGTAGTGAAAGTGACCCATGATTAGGCCTGGAAATTTGGTGATAAGGAACACAGACAGAAGAAAGGAGCATGGAGTAGTGGCACTAGGCTAGGGGCCCAGGAACTTCTCCTTCCTGGCCACTGAGATAGTCCTGAGCACCCTTAGATGGACACATACTGGAGTTCTCAACTAGATCCTTGTGGAAACCCAGGTCTTCCATGGGGCTGTTGCTCACTCACTCCTCTAACCCTGGCAAGTGCAGGGGGTGTAGGGGTCCTCTGCTCTACTCTGTACCCTGAGTATAAGCAGAGGGATCTCCATAGCAGGTGACATTTTAAGAACTGTGCATAGGACATTGGACCTGGAGTCAAGAAGACTTGAGTTCAAACACAACCTGAGACATTCACTAGCTGTGTGACCCTGGGAAAATCAATTGACCTCTTACTGTTTTGGTTTTCTCATCTGTAAAATGGGGATAATAATAGCACCTAGCTTCCCACATGTGAGAACTAAATAAGATAAAGAACTTTGCAAACCTTAAAGCATTACATAAATGCTAGCTATTATTATTATTACTTACCATTCATATAGGTCCATATATTGGAAACTTCGGCTAGATGATCTCTGAGCTACCTTCTAGCTCTCAAATTGTCTGTGAGGAGAGTGGAACAAAAATCTTAAAAAAAAACAAAACAGACCAAAGGATTCATAATTCCCCACAGTCTGGGGCCATTTCATGCAGGAACAAATAGCTCTATATACTTCAGTGGGCCCTGAATTCATATCTGTATTTAAGATAGTATATTAATAGATTTTCATTAAAATGGCCTGACTCATCAAGAAAACAGTAAGTCATGTCGTGCTCTCTGTTTAAGTTGTCAAGGGAGTGTGCGTGATACATTTTAGAAAAATAGTTACAGTATTTCGAAAGGGCCATGATTTTATCAGCATGACATGGCTCACATATACTGTATGCCCTATTTTGATTAGAGTATAAATAAAATGATTTAAAATGTTGCAAAGGTATGGCCTTTAAACAAGGGGAAGCTTTTGGATGCCTAAAAAAATATAGCTCACCAGAGTGACAGAAAGCATGAGAAAAGAGTGTCATATCTGAATTCAGAGGACTTGGGTTCGAATCTCATCAAGCTACATACTACCTCTGCGACCTCAGTTTCCTCACCTTGGACTGGTCTAGATCAGAGGTGTCAAACTCACAACCTGCGAGCCTGTTGGCAAAATTCCTGGGTGTGGCCAGAACCAAATTAAAATGTAATTGGGAAATATTTAACAAAATAAATAAAAATGCAATGCAACACAGATAATGTTAATTTGTGTTTTTCTAAGTCAATATGGAGTCCAGTTTCTATTTGAGTTTTAACACCATTGGTCTAGATCATTACTAAGGGCCCTTTTATCTGAAAATCAATAACCTATGACTAATCCCCTGAGGTTTTTGGATACATAAGATCTTACTGTGATTACATGGTTCCTACTTTCCAAGAGCTTATAGTCTACTTGGAGAGATAAGACTAGAGAGAAGAAGCACATAGAATCATTGTGCCAGATTTGGAATGAGAGAAGCCAGGTTCAAATTCTGGCTCGGTGCTGTACTACCTGGGTAACCTTGGGCAGCCATTTGACCTTGGGTGCTTACTTGGCCTGTTTCCACAACTATAAAATGAGAAGGTAAGACTAGATGACCTCAAAGGTCACTTTCAGCTGTAAATCTATGAGCCAATAGTCAGGTTGCATCACCTGATTTTAGTACCCGCATTTTTTCAACAAGACTCTTGCTCCAGGGGAAATGCTTGCCTGGCACCAAGAGTAAAAAGAAAAAGAAATTTTGGTCTCTCATGTAGTCCTCTCTGCTGACAGGGTGTAATGGGTGTTGTTTACTGAGTTATTAAAACCAACAGAAATAGCTGGTGGAATGGGCACTATTTATAGCTCTTTATCAAGCTTCGGTTGCTCCCCCTGCCCTGTTAAGGACCCAGAAAAAGAAGTCCATCCAGAAGTGGGGTATCATAGATAGCCCTGGATGGCTACAGTCCTGGAGATTAGTCCAAGCTAAACCATTAACTAGCTGTGTTACTCAGCCTGTCTTGACCTAAATTGTCTCATCTGTAAAGCAAGACTCGGTAGATTATAGTTATAGATTTAGAAATGGAACCAATCTTCTAGATCAAGTGTCAGACACTACCCCCAGCTGCATGTGACCCATAACACTCCTGACTACACAGAAACTAGATTAAAATGGAATTAGAAAATAGTTAATAAAATACATAAAAATACAATGACAAATAGATGTTAATATGTGGTTTTCTGATTCAACACGGGATCTTTCTTTCAATTTAATGATCCCTGTTTCTATTTGAGTTTGATACCACTGTTCTAAATAATCAAGTTGTACTTCCTTATTTTAGAGATGAAAGAATGCAAGTTCCTTGAGGGCAACAATGGTTTTGTTTTTGTCTTTGTATTCTCAATGCCTAACAGTGGCAGCTGGACAATACTAGATGCTTAATAAATGTACATTGATTAAGTGAGGAGAAAATTGAGGCCAAGTGACTTGCCCAAGGTGACATAGTTTATAAGTAACAAGTAAAGACACATCAATAAGCATTTATTAAGTGCACTGTGCTGAGTGCTGAGAATATAAAGAAAGGCAAAACACGCCCTGCTTCAAAGAACTTACAATCTAATGGCAGAGTTAAAATTCAAACCCAGGTTCTCAGACACCAAATCCAGGGTTCCTTCTACTATAATACACAACGATATTGCAGCTGCCAGAAGGCAGGAAGCTAAGCCAAGCAACCTAGAAGTCACTTCTAGCTACAAGGGTCAATGAGTCCATGAAGTTACCTTCGAGGCCCTGAATTAGACAAGAATAATATTTGGTCTCTGCTCTCAGGCAGCTGCAAATCAAGCTGGAGAGTTAAAGAAAATGCACAAGAAAAGTTAACAAGCAAGAAAAAGGTGGTTGATGTTAGGTACCATATTAGTACCTAGATGGTGAGTGCTATAGGAGTTCAGAGGAAGAAAAGAACTTTGGGCTGGAGCAACCAGAGAAGTCTGCATGTAGGAGGTGGAACTGTAACAGTTAATGGTTCCTGCCTACCCTAGGAGGAAATGGAGTGTGGGGAATGTAATGTTATCTATTGTAGTTTACAGCATATATTCTAGCTAAAAGATCCCTTTTAGTTCTAACATAGTCTAATTCTGTAAAGAGGGTATCTGAAGGTATAAATTAGAATCAATCAATCAACAAGCATTTATTAAGCTCCCATTACTTACCAGGATCATAGGATCACAGAGGCCTTGAAAAGTTAAATGACTTGCCCAAGGTCTTACAGGTATTAACTGGCAAAATAAAAAAAATAAAAAGAGGGTCCTCTTTTTATTTTTTGGCAAGGCAATTGGGGTTAAGTGATTTGCCCAAAGTCACACAGCTAGTAAATGTTGTGTCTGAGGTCAGATTTGAACTCAAGTCCTTCTGACTCCAGGGCCAGTGCTCTATCCACCTAGCTACCCCTAGGTCTTCTTTCTCTAAATCCAGCACCCTATGCTGTTTCCCAGGCATGTTTCTCCTTGCTGAGGTCCATACTGAGGTCAACATGGCCATGTCTTCCCAAGAGGAAACACCAAGGGGGATTTTGGTGTTTGAGTGGCCTTCCTTTTAGCTCTATTTGATCCTCCTAGAAGGGAGGTGAGAGAGCTTCATGGTGGGGACCCTGTGAACATAACTCAAGCCTCAGAGACTTGCATTGTTCCCCTCTGCCCACTCCTTACAGAATCTCCACACCAACAAGTTTGCAATGGACCGCCACAGTGGAGTGCTACGCATTAGAGCTGGAGCCACCCTGGACTACGAGAAGTCAAGGACTCATTTCATCACTGTCGTGGCCAAGGTAATACAGGGGCTTTCTTTGGAAATCTGAGGCGGCAGATCTGGGCATCTAGAGAGCAGAGCAACCTTTGTCAGTGGCAAGTATTCCTGCATCTTAAAAGAGGCAGCTTCTTCCAGGGATGGGAAGAGAGGAAAAGGATCATCAAGGTTTTAAAGCATGGACATTATGGATTGAGGGCACTACTACAGCTCTTCTCTTAGTTTAAATATTGCTTCCTCTTTTAGAGTAAAGGAAATGCACAGAGCAACACAGTGGAATGCATATTGGCTCTGGAGTTTTATGTCCTTGTACAAGTCATTTATCTCTTTGGGTATCAGTTTCCTGGTGTGTAAAAGGAGGGCAATGAACAGAAAGACCTGTGATATGCCCTCCAGCTCCAGAGCTACAATATTCTGATCCTTCTTGCTCCCTTTCCTAAAACCAAAGATGGGAAGATCTAAGATAAGCATAATGCAGGGAGAAGAGCTAAAATTGAGAGTCAGTGAACCTAAGCAAGTCATAACCTCTCTGGACCAGTTAATTTACAAGCAAAGGCATTTAATAAAATAGCACTATCAAGAAAACTTGCAATAGAATGTTTTCCCCATAAACCTGGGGCACACTCTCATAAACATACATGTCAACAGTGGAAAGAGTGAGCACATCTATGCACAGGTCAGTAGAAAGGACAATGGATTTAGAAATAGAAGACCCAGCTCAAAGACCATTTTTGCCAGTTAATACCCATATGACCGTGGGCACATCTCCAATGCTGCAGAGCCACTGGCATCTTCTGGTAGTGTTCCTCCTGGGTCCTCTGCCCTGCCAATCTCAACTAGTAATCATGCTCTGTCTACTGGGCATGTGGTCTCTCCCAGGCTCACTGGCTTGGTTCAGTCTCTTCCAGGCAGATTACCGCTCCCTGGTGGCTTCATGGGTTTGTTGCTGGACAATGCCCCACTGGCCCCATAGCTCACAGCTAAGTGTGGCTCTACTGGCCACAATGTCATGGAGCTTCTCTCCTTCTAGTTTCTGGCTTCAACTGGAGTCATTAGCTGAGGGGTTGCTCCTTCCTCTAAGATAGTAGTATCAAACTCAAATAGAAATAAGCACCACTAAACCATGCATAAGGATTCCCTACAGGGCACAAAGTGACTTAGAAAGCTACAAGTTAACATTATCTATGTTCTATTCTATTTTTATTTATTTTGTTAAATATTTCCCTGTCATATTTTAATCTGCTTCTGGCCATTCTGGAATATTGTGAGACAGTGAGTTTAACACCTTTGTTCTAAGACAAAGAGTAGGTTCAGTTATCCTTTTAGCTTAAAGTTACATTTCTTCTGGAAAGATGAGGCTCTAACATGCCCAGTCACCATATTCAAGACCCTTACACGGAATGAAGGAAGTTCAGGAGATATAGACAAGCTGGACAATTTTGAAACTACCATACTTATTTTATTATATATATTTTTAAAAACTAAATAATCATAGTTTTATGCATGATATTCTTTTCCCACTTTTCTTTGTATAGGGAAATGATAGTGGTTGTTAATGTTTATCAATATCATAATAATAACAATAATAAATAATGTTTAAAAGACCATTGCTGCTTTTTCTCCCCTGTAAAGAGAGCCTATCAGTCATAGGTTCCTAGAATCACAGATCAGGAGCAGGAGAAAATCTTGAAGGCCTCTGGAACAATCCTTTTATTTTATAAAAGAGGAGTCAGAGAAGTTAAGTGGACTTGCCTGAGCTCACACAAGTAATAAGCATTAGAGGCAGAATTTAAACTCAGGTCCTCTGACTCCACACTCCATAGCAGACTGCATCTCCTATGCTCTGGAAGGTTCTGCTTTCTGCAAGTTCTTGCAGTTTCTGCCAAGTTGGGACCTGATGAGGTATTATGCATCTGTCATTGTAGGACCAGTACAGCTGAGGCAGAGTAGTTCACCACTAGATTGGCTGAAGGGTGATGAAAGCTTCAGCCACAGCTACCCTTGAAGACCATCTGCTAAATCACAGAGGAGTTGTAATCTGCATTGGTAAAGGGAGGACCCTGCCAATCTATTTATATATCCTTGTAGTAAGTCTCTAATCTAGCTCAGGGACCAGAGGTCATCAATTTGGAACCTCAAAGGAACTTTAGAGATCATCTTGCCCAATTCCTTCCTTTTACCGATATGGAAACAAGTCCAGGAGAGTTGAGTGACTTTCCTAAGGTTATATAGATTGTAAACACCAGGGGTGAAATTTGAACCCAGATCTTTTGACCCCAGAATCAATGGTTTTTCCATTGTACCATGCAGCTCCTGTCTAGGAAGTAAGAACTAGTTTCATTGAGCTGCACTCCAAGGCAGAAAAATCTATGCATTGAGAAATCCATGACCTCAAGGAGGTGTTCCCTTTGTAAATACGGATATCTGATCTTCTCTCCAGAAAAAGTGTTCTCTCCCTCTCCCCACCTCCCAGTCAGGCAAGTTTCCTCACTATCCCTCTATGTACAATGTCCATTCCTGTTTGCATGCCTATAATTATACTGTTCCTCCTGCATAGAATGGACTTCTAGGCTCTTAGAATGAGGAAGGACCTTAGAAATTATCTAATCTAATCCCCTCATTTTTTCAAGTGGGGAAACTGAAACTAATTCAGTAACATCAGTTTTCCTGGATAGCTGCTTTGTGGCAGGAAGTGAAATCCAACATGTAGGTCACCCCCTTTCCTAGGGATTTTTTTGGTTATTATTGCTCTGCTTTTTAAATCTTCTCCCCAACTGACTGCTTTTTTCTCTTATCTTTTTACTTTCTTTCCTAAAATGACAGAATTGAAAGATTTACAGCTGGAAGAGTCTCTAAAGATTATCTAATCCAAACTCTCTCTTTACAGATGAGAAAACAGAGATCCAGAAAGTTTAAGTGATTTGCCCAAGGTCACATAGATAGAAAAGATCACAGCTGGAATTTGAACCCAGGCCCTTTGACTCCAAACCCAGTGCTATTTCTGTTATCACATGCTTTTCTTCTCCCTCCCTCTTTCTTAACCATGATGTACTTTACACATTCCTCCTTGACACTATCTCTTTAATACCAACATTCTCTTGGGAATGAAATTTGGTTGTGAACAAGGGAACACCATAATCTCCAAAGAATCTAAATTGTGCGTGACCCAAATAACTAAGACACAAGTATTAGTATACATAGGGAGGCTGCAGCATGATACCATCTATACCTTATTCTTTTTTAAAAATTTTTTTTAGTTTTTAGGCAATTTGGGGTTAAATGACTTGCCCAGGGTCACACAGCTAGTAAGTGTCAAGTGTTTGGTCTGAGGCCAGTTTTGAACTTAGGTCCTCCTGACTTCAGGGCCAGTGCTAACCACTGCACCACCTACCTACCCCTACACCTTATTCTTAAGAAGGGATATAAGGAATATCATCCAGGAAATGTGTTGATTAGAAAAAATATGTCAGCCAGTCATGGAGCAAGAGCAAAGGATAAAAGAGTCAGCCCATCCAAGGGCTAAAATGATACCCTTAGAATTGGGGGGGGGGGGAACAACCTATCCTAGAAGATGTCCAGTATGTCAGGTACACGGGAGATAAGATTTGTAATGTGTTTTTTTAAACCTTAAAGTGCTATATAAATACTAGCTATTGTTGTTATTGAGCTGCTCCAGCTCTCACTGATATCTGCCCCACTCTCCTGATTTCTCAGCATTTATAAGCTATATCATACAATTAAATGCTTAACTATGTACCACAATGCCTTTTTTTTGGGGGGGGGTAATTGTCTCATGGCGGAAATCACCTGTCTAACAAAACCATTAAGTCTGGAATAATTCTGATTCTTGTTTCTTCCTCTAGGATGGCGGAGGGAAGCTCCGAGGAGATTATGTAGTTTTCTCAGCCACTGCTACCATCACCATCAATGTGGATGATGCCCAGGACATGGATCCCATCTTTGTTGGCACACCATATTATGGCTACGTCTATGAGGATTCCCATCCAGTGAGTAAGACTGTCTTTTGGAGGGGGTACCTGAGCCTGGTAAAATTGGTAAGGAATTAGGGTTTGTCTTTACTTCTCCTTTAACCCTCTTTGGCCACTCATGCAGGCAGTTAAGACCCTTATCCTATCTTTTGAAAAACTGTGTTGTGGCCAAACTGCATCCTATTCTTATAACCTCCTTGGGAGTTGATTTGATTCTGGAATAGAGCACAGGATTGGGAGTCTGAAGACTGGAGTGCCAATCTTGGCTTGCTACTACCCAGCTATGTGACTTTGGTTAATCACTTTCTCTGAGCCTCAGTATCTTATTTTATGAAATGAGGATACTGAATTAGATTCTCTCTATGGTACTTTCTAATTCTGTAATTCTATGATTGTCCCAACAAACTGTATCTATTTTTATTCTTCATCTTCCCAAGATCCTGTTCTGTGGTATATAACAATGATTGATTTTTCAAGAGAAAAAAAAATGCATAGGAGGAGGGAAGGGAAGGAAAAGAAAAAGGGAAGGAAAGGGAAGAAATAGGAGAAAAGAAAGAGAAAAAAATTGAGTACATTTAGCCTAGAGAAAAAACTATAAAGAAATATGAAAACTGTCTTTTTTTATTTTTTGAAAACTGTCTTAAAATAATTGAAGGTTTGCCATGTGGAAGGATTAGATGATTTTTGGATGATTAGACTGATTTTATTTGGACCTAGGATGAAGAAGTGAGTGAAAGTTACAAAGAAGCTGGTTTTGGTTCAGTATAAAGAAACCTGCCTAACAATTAGAGCTGCCCCAAACTGGAATGTTCTACCTCAGAAGTGTCCTGCTCCAGGAGATATTCATAAAAGGACAGACTTTTTAGGAATTTTAGCAATGCTTCAGGGTAAGGTCAGAAGGGAACATGAGTTCCTGAGATTCTACAATTCTATGATGATAGATAAGTAGGAGGAGTCAAAGATTACTCCAGCGTTGCAATGACAGAAATGGATTTTATGGTAAATGGTGAGTGAAATAAGAGTCCATATCCCCTGCATATTGACTACGACCAAGAACAATTGATCAGGCTTTTCCTTCTCCTGAGCAGGGATACTTTGGGAATGCCTGTCAAGGCTGCTCTGTGTTGTGGAATTCAGGAATCTCTCTTCCTCTCTTGTCATCATGTATCTGCTCTCTATTTTCTTCCAGGGATCAGAGATCCTGACAGTGGTTGCTGTAGATGGAGATCGGGGTAACCCTAACATGGTCCTCTACAGCCTTGTGAATGGTGAGCCCTGGGGGATGTTTGAAGAAAGGATCCCTAGATGACTGGTCTCCCTACCTTTGATTCAGAAACTCTTTGGGCCCCAGCTTCCCACTTATAGAACTGACATGCAAGATGATAAGGACAAAGCCTACACTATTCTATGAAGCATAAAACTTCTCAAAACATTTACTTCCAAATATTTTTATTCTCAATTCTATATAAACATAACAAAACGCAACTTCATACTCAATCAACGAGCATTTATTAAGTGCTTACTACGTGACTGGCACTTTACTAAGGGCTGAGGATACAAAGGTAAAAAAAATTATCTCAAAGACCTTACATTGTACTCTCTTTTCACATTCATACACACGTACGTTCATATCCCAAAATTCCTCTTACACTGTTATTGTATAATAATCTCATAATCTCACACAAACCGCATCTACTGGCCTTCACTCTAATACAAACCAACAAACATGTATTAAGTACCTATTATATGATAGGTTCTAGAGCTATGAAAATAAAGTGGAAAAATAATACCTGTCTTCAAATAGCTTACATTTTATTCTATGGTCACAAGTATGCACATACACCCACATACACACCCAAAGATTCCTCTTACACTGGCATCATAACACTCAGGCTCCGGTACACTGCATAAACACATAAGACTCACACACACACACACACACACACTCACACACCCCCCAACTTGTGCACCCAAATTCTTCTCTCTATACTTACACTGACCCATAAATTATACTGTTGTATCCCCTTTACCCCATCCCCGATCACATGCCATCCACTTCTCATCTAGGTCTTTACCCAGGACCAGGCTGAGAGTCAGGAACATAAAAAGCACCTATGATAAGCAATAGCTCAAGAAGGAAGTCAGTCACCAAGTCGCCAGCGAGACAGTTAGGATCAAACCAATCAAGGATCAAGCGCTCCTCTTGCAAGGTGTCGCTGATGGGCTCCATAGGAAGCCTGGTCTACTTGGCGGCCGTGCCTCACAAATAGTAGATATGGTGTGAAGGAGAGAGGGCTTACTCCAAGACAGCCAGCTGACTCCGTGGTGTCACAATCAACATTCCCGTACACACACACGACACGTACACAATCACACACACGCCTGTGCCTCACAAGGAGGCAAATGATGATAGTATAGACACCACAGTTTCTACCTTCACCCCTGTCTCTGGGAGCTTCTATCTAGTTTTTTTTTTGTTTTGTGTTTTAGGGGTTGGGTTTTTTGTTTTGTTTTGTTTTTTATCTACAAGCAGCCTAGAAAAGCAGAGATCCCTACGATAAATATAAATCCAGGTCATACACACAAGTACAGGCGTTGTCATATTATAAACTCTTAAGCCTACAGGAGATCAGCCTCATAGATATGGAACCCTGTAGTCCAATCCTGATGAGGTTTGGGTTTATTCTTGTTTTAGCATCTGCTTCCCCTTGTGGCCTTATGGGGAACTGTAGACCTCCCTCTTGTGACCCTGTGGGGCACTAAAGTTCATCTTGTTTTGAAACAGGGAGTGATGAAGCCTTCAGGATCAATGAAACCACGGGAGGCATCTCTGTCACAGTGTCCCCCAGCCAGCTCAAGAAAGAGGTGTATGAGCTGAGAGTACAGGTAAGAACTTGGAGAAGCTCTCCATGCACCTACTGCTCACTTCTGTTGAATTTCTGATTATGGGCCGGAGCACACGTTCTGATGACCCTTCACAACTTGAAGAAGGGTTGACTTTGTAGGAAGGTGAAATGGCTCATCACTTATGTAATTTAGGGAGCGTAGAACATTTTCCCCAACCTATCACAAATACACGAAACTCTACCACTAGAGATTATTTCCTTTGGGTGTAGTTAATTTGGGGGTAATATTAAGTACCTAATTTCCCAAAGCAAATGTGTTTAATAATCATAATGGCTCCTATTTATATAGTCTTTGTGAAAGAGTTCTTTACAAAACTGTGAAGAGGCAGCACAAGTGTTTTTATACCCCTTTTGCAGATAAGAAAATTGAGGCTGAGAGAGAAGGAAGTCATCTTTCTACTGTTTACACAGCTACTCAACCTTGTTTCCATTTACATGTTATCCTCTACCCCAGCTAGAAACTAGGAGAGAAAAGGCTCTTTCCATTATTCCACTTTCTCCTTAATCAGGAGGGACTGGGAAAGCAGAATGGAACTGGACACTTAAGGAGAAACCAGGTAGGGAGAGAAAGTACAAGGAAGGGTCTCTTGGGGGCCCTGAAGACAAGTTTAACAAGGATCATAATTCTTTCAAGCACCAACCTTCGTTCAGGGATCTGGGAGGGCACACCTTTTACAGGAATGGGTGGGGAACAGCAGCAGAGAGTCCTGTCCTTGCCTGTTGCCTACCTATTATAATATTACAGGGCTCCCATGAATACCAGAAAGTCTGGCCCCCACTCAAGAGCCTGGCTTTGGGGGAAGCTACCCAAGATACATGGACTTACTACCTCTGTACCTCCAGCTTCCTAGCCCTGTTTCCCAGATGCTCCCTAAAATCTTCCCCCTTAAATCCTCCACCCTTTAATATTAATACCTGCTATCAAGAAGGATCATGTTCCCTGAGATGTAAGTGACTGATAAGGCACAAGCAGGGGAGACCTGCATTTTACCTGGGGTGGGAGTGGGAGGAACTATACATGAGATATTTAAATTCCTATCATAGCCTAGAATTTCAGATATTAGCTAGTTTTGTGGGCAAGAGATTTGTTTTTTGTTTTTTAGGAGGAGAGGGCCTTTTAAGGTTTTATTAAAAGTTATGCCACATATACCAATGTCTGCTCTGCCTATACATGAGACCCATCTGCATGTGTTTGTGTATTTGGGGGAGGGATAGGAGGAGGGTTATTGGGAGAAAAGTATTTGTGTGACTGGTGACATCATCGAAATAAACAGCTTTCCCAAGGTCAAATAGCTAGAAAGTGGCAGAGTCAGGATTCACACTCAAGTCCTCTGTCTTCAAATTTGGAACTGTCTCCACTACCGCAAACTGTATCCTGATGTTTGTGGGTATCTGTATATCCAGCAATCTGGAGTAATTCATTCAAATATATGAATAATATGTATTAAGTTCTTGCTGTGTGTTAGATACTTTGCTAAACTCTGAGGATACAATTAAGAGAAGTGACAACATTTGTCTTCAAGGAAATTACAGTCTAATAAAGGAAGCCAACACATATAGGAGAGTGGTGACTAGGAAAGGGAGTTTGGGTCTGGTAAGCCACAAGGATAATGAATTGATATATAGGGCAGTCAAATGCCACATCCTTTCTAGAAGTAATGCTGCTATACTCTTGATTTAATTAGAGCAAGGTGGGAGAGGAAGTCAGAAGGGCTGGTAAGCAGATGGCAAGATAGCTGGATGGCATGTGAAGATGAAACCAGATCTGGTGTGTGGGGTCAGCTAGCTCCAGTGGGGCCAGCCCACTAGTCATAGTGGGCTAATTGGACTCTTTTACATGACACCCATCGACTTGGCTAAATCCAAAACAGAGAGAGTTCTAACTTCTCCAGGTACTGGGACAATAGATTCTGGAGATCCAGAGTGCAGAGGTCCAGGTCCAGAGTCCCAGGCCTGGAATAGAAAGTGCTGGTAGAGGGAGAGAGAAGCAGCAGATGGCCAGATGGCCTGGGTGAAAAGCTAGATGACTGGATAAAATGTGAAGCCGCAGCATATGTATTTTTATTTATTTATGCATGTGAGCGTATATGTGTGTATGCAAGTTGAAGGTCTGTAGTGAACTGACTCTACAGCCCTGAACCCCCAATGTTCTGTCCTGTAGGTATCAGAGGTCAGTTCCAGAGGGCCTCTAGCACCTCAGGCTTCAACGACTGTGACCATCAGGGTAGTTGACCTCAACAACCATCCTCCAACATTCTATGGAGAGAATGGACTCCAGAATATGTTTGAGCTGACAATGTATGAGCATCCATCTGAGGGGGAGATTCTTCGGGGCCTCAAGATCACAGTCAATGACTCTGATCAGGTAGGTCACAACACCCTCTGGTCTTCTGGGAGAAACGTGTGGCTGGAGAGGAAATCCTAGGCAGCCACTACCTGTGTGAGAGGAGGAGAGGTTTGAGTTGGGATACAGAGGTGAGAAGCTGGGCCAGCCAATTTCTTTCTATATTAATTAATTACTTTTACTAAGTACTAAGCCTCAGATTCCCCATCCTTAAAATGATAGGGTTCATCTAGATTGTCGCTAAGGTCCCTTCCAAAGCTAATATTCAATGAAATGTATGAAACGTAGTCTTTAAAAAATGAGTTGAGGAGCCAATAAGTCCATAGTTTTGTTGTATCTCTTCTCCTCTCCCCAACTCTCACGCCTGCCCTCTGTTCCCTTGCTCCTGCTACCTTTCCTTTTCTACCTTTCTTTTCCAGGGAGCAAACGCCAAGTTCAACCTGAGGCTTGTTGGGGCTGGAGGCATCTTCCGGGTAGTTCCCCAGACAGTCTTGAATGAAGCACAGGTCACCATCATTGTGGAAAATTCAGCCGCCATTGACTTTGAGAAGTTCAAGTTGTTAACCTTCAAGGTACCATGAAAGTTTCCAAGTCCTGACCTTTGGGGTTAGAGGGAACTCAGGCAAAAAGGAAGGAGCCAGGCTGAGGGGATGGGCCCTCCTTTCTCTTTCTCAGTACAGGTTAGCAGGTCCCACCCACTGAGTCCTGAAGCCCCACCCCTTCCTGATTTGTCCAGGGATAGACAAGTACCCCATGATCCATACCTATCCTAAGTCTCCTCACCCATCTTTTCTGTGCACTCAAGGGTTGGCAACTTGTCACAGCTGGAATGTCATTTCTCCATTTCTCCATTCCCTGGAAGACATGTGGCAACTCCCTTCAGAAAAAGGGGAACAGAGTCATGATAACTGTCAATAAGATTATTCCTGTATTACCCAGTAAATATTGCTGTGTTTGAGGAATCTTCCTGCTATTTGAAGAAATCAGAGAGCCTGAGTTCAAATCCAGACTCTATTGCTTACTAGCTGTGAAAACCAAATGAAAATCACTTCACTGTGCTTGGCCCTTTTTTTTTTCCATATTTGTGAAATGAGGGAGTTAGACTTAGAAAGGTCCCTTCTGGCTCCTAAACCCCAGAATTCCAAGGTAGAATGCTCCCTCAGACTTCAAATTCCCAGGGAAACAAAAAGATAGGAAGGGGAAAGCAATAGGATGGGGGCAGGGTGACCTTTGGGTGTTACCAGCTAACACTTCAATGATCAACTCCATAGCAGTGATTAAACAGCCAGTTAGTCCAGCAAAGATTGCTAAAATGGGATATTAGAGAATCATCTAGAGAGGGTCAGGATGCCTAGGGAAAGAAATGGATTCTATTAACAGAGGTAGAAAGGCAAAACAGACAAGTCTCTCCAGCTTCATGATTTGCCTAGAGCTGGCCTAACTGTGTAACTTATAATCATCTGCCATGCCATTTTTGCCATACGTGGCTTAGGTTAACGACTCTTGTACAAAGTGCAAGGCTCTCTGCCTTGGGACCATCAAGGCCAAGTTTGTTCTACGGCTGCCTCAAGCTTCCTTCCCAGGCTGTGTTTATCATTTGGCAGCATTGCACGGATGCCCTCAACCCCTCTCCTCTTCCCTTGCCAGCTTCTGGCTGTGGAAGTGAACACTCCTGAGAAATTCAGCTCCACAGCAGACATTGTGATCCACCTCCTGGACACCAACGACAATGTTCCCAAGTTTTCCTCTGACTACTACATTGCCCGGATCCCAGAGAATTCTCCAGGGGGGTCTAATGTGGTGGCTGTCGCAGTGAGTTGGGGATAAGCCTGGGAAACTAGAACACGAGACAGGCAGGACTATTACTGGAAGTTGAGGTGCTTGTGGTGAACTGTTGGGGGAGATAAAGAGTTTATTTTCCAGGGTGGGGAGGTGATAAAAGTGGAAAGGGTCTGAGATTTGGTGTTTCTCAGGAGCCTGGCTTCTCCATCTAAGATTGCATCTGAGAAGCTAGGTTGGAGCTTTAGAAGACATTGTGGTAAGGGATAACTAGGGGAAGCTTTGTCATAACTATTTTCTGCTAGGACACCCAGGAGTCACAGGAAAAGGAAAGTAAAGGATGTTTGAGTTAGGAAATGGAAAGAAGCAACACCTCCAAAGTCCCCATCAGTCCTCACATGGAGAACCATGCGGTTCCTCCTTCTCCTGGCTTCTCAGTCCTATCATTTTTTTGTCAGTATCTTTTCTTCCCTCAGCTAGTCTGGGCACCGCACTTCAACTTAAAGAAAAACATCAAGCCTGAGGGATCTGCCTCAGAACTCTAGGAAGGGCTCTGACCAATAGGTGACCACTCAAGAGAGAGAGAGAGTCAAGAGCAGCTCTGATTGTGTTCTGCTGGGTTTTTTCCTTATGCTTCCTATCAGTGAAGTTTGTCTTTCTAAATGTCATGGGGTAAGGGAGCATATTAAAATTAACCTTCTTATGGGAGCAAGAGATCCTGAAATTGAATTCAAATCCACAGACATAGACCCACTGGGGAGTCATGTCTTCCCTTCTCCCAGTCTACTTTGTATTCTGCTCAGATCCCATACCTACCAGTCCCATTGATACCTGAGATCTGTTGGGAGGAAAACCACTGGCCTCAGGTCAGTTTCCCAATTTGAAAAGATTCCAAAATCCTCTTGTGAGCCAGTAGAAAGGATGTCCAAGTGGCAAATGTGGAAAAACTAAGACCCTCACCTCTCCACTAACTAACTACGAGGGGTGGTGTGTCTAGGATGAAGTATAAAGAAGACAAGATCTGAGTGTTTATTGATGTATCTGATAAGCATTGGTCAGAACTGTTAGAATGGGGATGAATTCTGGGCAAAGGTTGGACTAGACAGCCACTGAGGCCCCTTCTGTCTCTCAGAGCTGGCATTTTTATGAGTCTGAACTCCAACTCACTTTTCCAGGCAATGGATCCAGACTCAGGACTATGGGGTGAAGTCAAATACTCCATTTACGGGACAGGAGCAGAGCTGTAAGTACAACGGCAGGCCTGGACACACAGTCCAGAAGACTTCTCCCAGTGTCTCGTGGCATCAGCATAGTAGAAGGAGTTGGAGGGAGGGGGCTGCTACAGAAAGGGTCAGTTCCCCTGGCACGGGCTGTGAGGAGTTGGATAAGAAAGGAACCCAGGGTGGGAGAGAGTAGGGAGATGTGTAGGAAAAAGGGATGATCAATTACATGTATATCACAATTGGGGGTTTACCATTTAGAGCACGTTCTCACAACAACCCTGCAAGATAGGTAATACAAACAATATTACTCCCATTTTACAGATTAAAATAAAAACCTGAAACTCAGAAAGGGGAAGTTATCTACCCAAGGCTAGTAAGCTAGTGAGTGTAACCAGGACTGACCCCCAAATCCAAACCTTTTTCCAGAGCTGGAAGAACTCTCTAGTGACCAGTCTTGATAAGGTTTACAGATATACGGAAAAGCAGAAACTGTCTTCCTTGTGCTTCAGAGACCTTCCTGTAAAGACAGACCAGGAGTTGCTTCCTCCTCTCACACAGCCATCAAAAGCAGGGAGAACAGTCCGACAGAAGCCAAAAGCTTAACAAACCACATAATTAAACATCTGTTGCCTATACAATTTATTCTGGCTTCTACCCTTCCAAAAGTGCTTCATCTATAAATGTAAATAAATTCTTGAGCTTCCAGGAGGAGTCTGGCAGTGCCTGATTAGAATTTCCTACGTTCTCAAGCTTGGGGAAGGAAGGAAACGAGCCTTTTAAACAAGCATTCTGGGCACTGTGCTAAGCACTTCACAAATATCTCATTTGATTCTTCCAACAATACTGGGAGGTAAGTTTTATTATTATCCCCATTTTACAGTTAGGGAAACTGAGGCAGGCAGGGGTTAAATGACTTGCCCTGGGTCACATGGCTAGTAAGTGTCTGACGTTGGGGTTTGAAGTCAGGTCCTCCTGACTCCAGGGCTCAGTGCTCTATCCACTTTATCCACTTTGCAAACAGAACCTGCAGGAAAGATTATCTCAGACACTTGGTTCCCCCCTGCCCACAGTCAATGGCTAACCAGCCCACAATGCCATTTAAAAAGATGGGACCCTTTGCCTGGGTTATGATTCCACCCTCCCCATTCATACCATAGCTTGCTGTTGCTTTGTTTGGTGAATTTACTTTTCATGGGAGGCTACTCTCATATGATGAGAAGAGAGATGAAGATTCCTCCCACTGAGCTCTGTGTCATGAGTGCTTCTCAAACCAAAATGCTGAATAGTCATCCAAGGTTATGGTGTAAGAAATGATGAACATTTGAGGCAGCTAAGTGGTTCAGGAAATAGAGTTCTGGACCTGGAGTCAGAAAAACCCGAGCTCAAATCCAACTTCAGACATTTACCAGCTATGTGACCCTAGCAAGTCATTTAAGCCCATTCAGCCTCACTTTCCCCAGCTGTAAAATGGGTATAGTAGTTGTGGCTTTGCGTGCTAAAAAGTACTCTACAAAAATCTTAAATGTTAGCTACGATCACTGTTCTATAGTTTTTCTAAGGGTAGAAAATGAGAAGGGACAGCTAGGTGGTGAAGTGGTTAGAGCGGCAGCCGTGGAATTAGGAAGACCTAAGTACAAATCCGGCCTCAGGCATTTACTAGCTGTGTGACCTTGGGCAAGTCACTTAACCCTGTTTGCCTCAGCTTCCTCATCTGTAAAATGAGCTGGAGAAGGAAATGGCAAAGCACTCCAGGATCTTTGCCAAGAAAACCCCAAATGGGGTCATGAAGGATTGCACGTGGGCTGAAACAACCGAACAACAAAAGAACATGAGAAAAGAAGCTGACATCGTAGTAGCAGATGAGATTTAGGTTAGCAAAAGGGAAGCCCTCCTAGAAAGGCCATGGAGTATCCTCCTCCAGAGAATCATAAGAACAGGAGCCAGAGACATCTTCCTTCCGGAGGGATGACGTAGATGGCTCCTCTCAGCTAGGTGGTACGGTGGATCCAGCACCAGTCCCAGAGTCAGGAAGACTTGAATTCAAATCCAGTCTCAGACACTTGCTAGCTGTGTAATCTTGGGCAAGTCATTTAATGCCTACCTCAGTTTCCCTAATGGCAAAATGCGGATAATAATAGCACCTACCTCCTAGGATTGCTGGAAGGATCAAATGAGACAATATTTGTAAAGTGCTTAGCACAGTGCCTGGCACATAATAGACACTTATTAAATATTTATTCCCTTCCCCTTCTTCCTTATCCTTGAGGTCAGACACCAGGTCTTGTTTATTTTTGTATCTCCCTCAATATCTAGCAATCTGTGCATACTAAACTCTTAAATAATCTTTCCTAAATGAATGAATGAAAGACCTCTGAAGTCAAATTGTCATATCCCAAACAGGCCTGGGATGTAGAGGAAAGAGGGAGCAGTGGGACCCAGTTCTCAGGAGGCCTTCTGACTCTTCTTGAGAGCTGTCACCTGATTTATTACCCCAGCAGGCAGGAAGGGGCAGATGTGATCACCAGATGAAGGGGAAGGGTATGGAGCAGAGGACTTGATGGGCTAGTCAACCAGACCTCTTACCATAGGCTAAAGGGACTTAGATCTAAAAAGGACGTTATACATTATCTGATCTAACCCCTTCATTTTGCAGATGAGAAAATAATATTCTGAGAGGAGAAAGCTCACACAACTAATAAGTGACTAATAAGTAACTTCCCAAGAACCATGGAATCTATGAGGAGAATTAGGAAACAAGATTCACTAAACTGAAAAAAAAAGTCCAGGAACACAAAAGGCAAGAAGCAGGTCAAGGTCAGGGTCAGGATCAAATACAAATCCAATAAGTCAGATGCTGCCATAGTGGAGGCACTGACAGGTCCTTCCAGACCTCTCCAGAAGTATCAAGTCTGACATCCCTTGACTGTCTTAGCTGTCTAGAAGGCCCTTGAGTAACTGTGAGGCTAGCGGTCAATCCTCCTGCTTCGTTCAGGAACTCAGAGCCTGATACCCCTCCAGGAGATAGGGACCACATAGCCTAGATTTGAAGTTAGAGAACTTAGCTTTGAATTCCACCTCTTACTAGCTGTGTGCCCTTGGGCAAGTAAGACACTCACCCTCTCAGGGTCTTGGTTTCTTCCTATGTAAAATAGAAAGTATAAATTATATGATCTCTAAAATAACTTCTAGTTCTAATTCCCATGATCTTTCAGAGTCATTGATCCAGCATCTTTTTACAGCACAGCCATAGAATTTTAAAGCTGAAAGAGGCTTTAGCCAATTTCTCCCCAATTTTACAGGGAAAGAAGCCAGAGAGGTTGTAACTTAAAACCACATGACTGTGATCATTCCACCTTAACTTGAACAATTTCAGAGACAGAGAACTCACCACTTTGTAAGGGAGCCTCTACCACTGCTCTGAATTCATTAGTACTTACTCATTCTGAGCCAAAATCTACCTCCCTGTAACTTCCTTCCATTGTCCTAATTCTCCTCTCTGAAGCGAATGCCTTTTGTACATGACAGCTTTTCATATAATTGAAGACATCACATCCCTGTAAATCTTCTCTTTTTCCAGGCTAAATATCCCCAGTGCCCTTACCATTTATCATGTCATGATTTTCCCTCTATCAATCCTGATCACCTTCCTCTGGGTATATTCCAATTTATCAATGATGCTCCATTGAAAATTCAGATCCCAGGACTGATTGTAGTATTAAAGATATGGCCCAGGCAGAACAGAGTCCAGTGGGACTACTATAACTTCTCTTAATGGAGGGTTGTTGTTTTTTTCCTCCGACCTGGGATTTCATGGATCTGGGAAGCTTCCAATGAGAAAATCCCCTCTGCCAATGAAGAAGGGCACCTGCTCTGCAACACTCAATAAGTCAGTCAATGAGCACTTGTTATGCACTTACTCTGAACCAGGAATGGCAACATAAAGTCTTAAGGACTTTCCTGGGACACTGAGAGGTCAAGTGATTTACCTAGTCACACAGCCTGGAATCAGAAGCAAAACATGAACACAAGTTTTCTGATTCTGAGACTATTCAGTATCTACTATCCCAAGATGCCTCTCAAGATTCTATTACATGCACACACACACACACACACACACACACACACACACACACACACATTTTTTCAAATGATACAATGAGTGCATTAAAGAAATAAGTGTGATATGATTTGGGGTCTATTACAGCCTGTACCTTCCTGACCTACTAGATGATATTTTTTTAAACCTCCTCTCTATTTGGGGAGAACTAGAGACCCAACTTACAAGTATATACCCTATATAGACATAGTTATTTGCATGTTGTTTCCCCCATTAGAGTGGGAGCTCATTTAAGCAAAGATCTTGTTTTGCCTTCCTTTGTATCCCTAGCATTTTAGCACAGTACCTGGAACATAGTAAGGGTTTAATAATGGCTTATTGATGGACCAATGGACTGACAGACTCCACTAGCTTTCCCAAATGTAAGAGGTTGTTTGTGAGGCTTACCAGCTGATGATCTAGAGAATTCAAGTCTGGGGGGATTGAACAACTTGCTAACACAGGGAATCATATTCCAGGAAAGGGGCAAACATTAATGCTTCAATTTCTCTGTCCCCCTGGGGAAGCTTGAGGAAAATATGAGTTGACTGTCAGAGAAGATTGGACTGGTCCATATTTCAATTTCTCACTTTGTTAGTTCCTGATCTGTATGAACCCATGTGTGTCATCTGGCCCTTCCAGATTCCTGATCCACCCATCTACAGGAATCATCTATACTCAGCCCTGGGCTGCCCTGGACGCTGAGGTCACCTCCAAGTACAACTTCTATGTGAAGGCAGAAGACACAGAGGGCAAGTACAGCCTTGCTGAAGTGTTCGTAACAGTGCTTGATGTCAATGACCACTCCCCAGAGTTTGATGAAAACATTCAGGAGAAGACAATGGTCCTAGGAACCCCAGTAAAAATTGAGGTGAGTTGCTAGGTTGCCCTTTTAGGGAACAGTCCTGTTCCCTAAATGGTATGAACAGACTCTATGCCATGCAAATCGTTATCAACAGGGGAAATAAGAAAATCATTGAATCAGAATGTTAAGAGCACCCAGAAGACCAGCTAGTCCAATCTTTGCATATCTTTTTATTGGCTTTTGAAAAAGGTATATAGACATTTATTATCTATCTTCCTCATTGTACCTTCTTTAACTGAACAATTTTTTAAAAAAGCAAAACTATCACAATAAACATGCATAGTCCAGCAAAACAAATTCCCACATTGGTCGCATCCAAAAATGTAGTCTCATCCTGTACTTGAAGTCCATCGCTTCTCTGACAGGAAGCGGGTGGCATGATTCATCTTTAATCCTCTGCACTCATGATTCATGATTGCATTGATCAGTTCCATAGTCTTCCAAAGCTGTTTTTCTCTTTAATGTTGTTATTGTGTAAATTATTCTCCTACTTCTTGTCACTTCACGCTGCATCACTAGTTCATAAAAGAATTCCCATTTCCTCTAAAACTGTACATTTCATCATTTTTTATGACAAAAATAATAATCCATTCCGCTCACATACCATAATTTTAGCCATTCCCCAATCTGTGGGTGCCTGCTTAGTTTACAATTCAGGACTACTACAAAAAGAGCTGCTGTAAATATTTGTGTTCATACGGATCCTTTTCTTCTTTCTTTGATCCCCCCGGCACACAGGCTTAGGAGTGCTATAGCGGGGTCAAGCTTATGCATAGTTTAGTGACTTTGGGGGCACAAATGCCAAATTGCTTTCTAGAATCTAACACTTGCACCTTACACCTGAAAAAACTGAAATGTGACTTGCTCAAGGTCATACAGCAAGTTAATGGTCGAGGCGAACTAGAACCTGGGCTGCTATTTCTACTATGCCACGTTGTCTCAAATCTAGTCCTCTACATTCACTTGGCTTCTTTCTCCATGTCCAAAAGCTTTGGCAAAACTTCTCTGGGCCTGGGCTGACACACCAACAACGAGGACATGTAATCTGTTGGGGAAAAACAAACCCAGGCTCTCAGATCCATCATGCTTTGAGGGGCTTCTTAAGATCTTCAATTGCATTCAAAGGCATTTATAATGAAAAGGAAATTCTGTAATTTCTTTTTCTTTCTTTTTTTTTTTTGGCTAGGCAATGGGGTTAAGTGACTTGCCCAGGGTCACACAGCTAGTAAGTGTCAAGTGTCTGAGGCCAGGGCCAGTGTTCTAACCACTGTGTCACCTAGTTGCCCCTCTGTAATTTCTAACATCCCAACTTTGGAATTAAAAAGCTTGTCTCTCTGGCAGCACCCATATTTTGTCATTTACAAATAAATACAGTCTCCATAAGTGATTGCTTTGCATTTCAGTATCATGACTCAAGGCATGAGATTCTTTCCAAATCCTCCAAATAAATCATTTTAATTCATTTACTTACAAAAATAAATATGTAGCACTTGAGCAGAGAGTGTTTACTGTCATGAAACCAAAAACCATTGCTAGATTCCACTACACACAACACACACACACACACACACACACACATACACACATACACACATACACACATGCAAACACACACATGCATGTACTGTCATCTAAGACATGAAATCACTCAAAGTCTATATCCTCCATAGGAATTATAGCACAAACTGCTGTCCCCAAATAAGTAAAAAAACTACTCTTTAAATACCAGGATTTGCCCTTGGAAGAAATGAGAAATAGGTGTGGTGAAAGGGTCTTTGGACCTCTCAAATTTTCCTTTCTGTTCCCTTGCTTCCTTCCTACTTCCTAGTTCTCTTACCCCCATTACCAGGTGTTCAATGACTATATCCTACCCAAAGCCCTTCACCGTAGCCACTCATTCAAGCCTCCCCTCTTCCTGAAGTACTCCATGATACAAAATATTTTCATCCCCACAGTGCAGCTGTTCTAAGCCAACTATTAGGGAGAAATCAATCTGATTATATTCATTTACACTAGATCACTTACACTTTATCCTCTCAGAGTTAACCTCATGTTAGCTCAAATGAATCTCTTATGGATAGAATTATATGTCACTATTTTAAAATGAAAAAATTCATAAACTGTGAGGGAGATGTCTTTATTAATGGAAAGATGGTTTCCCTAGAACCCCTTAAATTGTAAAATGTAAGCCATCATATTACTCTACCTATATGTAAATCCAGCCCTGATAAATACTTACTCTATGCTCTGCTACCTTCCACAGGCCAAGGAAGTCATTATTTGTGTTTCATCTGGCCCCCTTACAGGATCATTGCTCAGGGAATATTTGAGTTCCCAAGGTCTGATTCCATCTTTCCTCACATGCAGGCTACAGACCATGATGCAGAGGAGCCCAACAATGTCGTGGACTATTCCATCATGCAGGCAGAACCTGCCAATGTGTTTGACATCAACGAAAGCACGGGTGAGATCAGGTTGAAAGCCTTTGTTCACTCACTGGACATCATCCACAATATCACCAAGAACAGAGACTGCATCTGGTCTGTGCTGGTGCAGGCCAAGGACCGGGGCTCCCCATCCTTCAGTACTACAGCTGTGCTAAAGATTGACATCCTGGATGAGGTAAGCTGGGCAGGCCAAAAGAAGGAAGATGCTTGGGGAGTAAAAGGGAAACTCATGATCATCTCACTGGCAGGTGTGTGGTGGACAGGATTCTTGTAGAGGTATAGGCCTCCAATTCTGAGATCCAATGGGATAAGCCTGCCTGCATCCTCACTCCCAAATCTAACCAATTGCCCAGGCCTCCGACTCTATGTTACTCCTTAAAGAGTGAGTCATGTATTCCTTTGTTATGAACATACTACATACAAATGATGTTTATAGTTTGCTTCCTATGGAAATCAAACTTCCCCCTGACCCAATGTCTCTCTCTCTCTCTGTCTCGAGCTTGGTCTTATCTGTAAAAGAGAAAACAAGGGAATTTCAATGCTACATCCCATCACATTTGTTGCAGCCCATTTTGAATCCAAAAAGCAGTCTTTAGAATCCTAAATCAGATCTTAGGACATTACAGAAGTTATGAGACTCCTGCCTGAACCCCATGTCAATGGAGGAAATATAATACAAGGGGGAAGAAATCCAGACTTGGAGACAAAAGGGCTGTCCTCTAAACCTGACTCTACCCCTTGCTAGCTTTGTGACTGTGACCAGATCACTGATGTTCTCTGGATTTCAGTTCCCTTGCCTCTAAAATATGGATATTAGTATTTGCACTATCTTCTCCATGAGGTTGTTGTGATGCTCAAATATGTCATGTCATAGAGCACTGAATTTGGTTATCTGAGGACCTGAGTTTGAATCTTACTATCTCTACTGCTGCTCACTATCTTGGGCAAGGCTCCTAGCCTCAGTTTCTTCACCTATAAAATAGGGAGTTGTACTAGATTCTAAAAGGGCAACTAAATGGCTCTATGCATAGATTGCCAGGCCTGGAAGCAGGAAGACCCGAGTTCAAATCTGGCCTCAGACACTAACTAGCTATGTGACCTTGGGCAAGTCACTTAAACTTGTTTGCCTCAGTTTCCTCATCTGTAAAATGAGTTGGAGAAGGAAATGGCAAACCACTCCAATATCTTTGCTGAGAAAACCCCAAAGGGAGTCACAAAGAGTTGACACAACTGAAAAAAAGACTAGATTCTGAAATTCCTACCAGCTTTAACTCCTATGATCTTCAAAACTCAAATGGTGAGTATTAACCAGGGTTTTCAATCAGAAAGACAGAAGCACAAAAGAGCAAGGTGCTCAAGGGTAAAGAAAGCATCACTGAAATGGCTGGCCAAGGGTCAGGACTGGGTAGGGATAGAAAGGAAACCAAAACAGAGGTGATGGATTAAAAGAAAATGGAGGCATCAAAAGAGGGGAGGTCATGATGAAGCACAAGATGGGGATAGAAACTGAATCTGTGATTTCAATGATGTAAGGAACTCTGAGGCAAGGAAACCCCTTCTACCAATTCAGGCTGGTTACTTTCTCTACCATATCAAGTCTTAGTGAGTTGCACAGAGATTAAAACATTCAATGACTTGCTCAGGCTCACAGAGTTTCAGAGACACAGATTGAACCCCAGTTTTCTTGGCTTTGAAGCTAGTTTCATGCATTACACTGTACTGTAAATTTTATATATGTACATATATTTTTTGTGCATATGTATGTATACACACATACATCCATATATGTACACATATATATGGATGTATGTGTGTATATCTACATATATATGTATGTATATATATGTATATGACTTGCTATAGGCTATAAAGCTCCATATAAATGTCAGTGATTATTAGCTTCACATAAAGAAAGATTGGTTTCCAGTTCTCTGTCTATCCAGCTACAACTGAATTATTTCTTCATGCATTTCCAAGTTAATTCAAAAGTAAGCCAAAGCTCTTTCTTTTTCCTTAATGAAAAGAAACCAACTGTTTCTTTTCATTAAGGGAAAAGTTATTTTCATTAAGAGCAGAGTTCATTATTAATGTATCTAACCATGCCTGTAGCCTAAGGCAAAGCTTCACATATATCCTAAATCATGTTCTGATTTCCTTGCTGTGGTCTGAACAGGGTGCTGAAGTTGTGAATTTTTTTATTACGACACAAGCTAACTGAATGGGTCTAGCGAAGATCAAGGTACTTCCTTCTCCTCAATAGCCATCATTTATTGAGCTTTTACTGTGCATGGGCACAGTATTAGGCACCGGGAAAGCAACTGTGTGTTAGAGACAGTCTCTGCCTTCTAGGATCAAATAGCAGAGGTGGAGAGATAGAACATGTATGTAAAAAGGTAAATAACAATGCACCCACATAAAGAGAGAGGGGGAATGTGATATAATGGATAGACAGCCAGTATCAAAGCCGGGATAATTTGTATTCAAGTCTCATTCCTGATCCATATTGGCTGAATGACCCTGAACAAGTCACCTGACCTCTCAATGCTCTAATCAGCTCTCTAAGACTGCCTTGGGAGAGGAGTTTCATCACTTGTCACTTCCTTCTATCAATCAAATCACAGGTCCTGTTCCTAACCCTATAATTAGATAGGCAGCAGAGTTCTATGGAAAAAACCCTGGATTTGGAACCATGAGGCCTGGGTCCAATTCCTGGTTCTATTTATTACTGGCTGCATGATGGTAATAAAATCATTTTACTTCTCTAAGTTTCAACTTCTTTATTTCTAAAGTAGAAATAATATTTGAACTGTCTAGATTATATACATATAAATGTGTGCATATCCATCCCATCTGACTCTCTGCCATGGTCAAGAGTCTAGGTAAGTGAAACTGCTACAGTTTCCTGTCCAGCTTCCATAGGTGAAGGTAACCATTGATATACTGTGTTCTGTTTATACTCCTTGACAGACCCTGAATAGAGGGCCCATGGCTGCGTTTCTAATGCAAACTAAAGACAATCCCATGAAAGCCATAGGCGTGCTGGCTGGAGTCATAGTCATCATGGTGGTCATTACCGTCTTCATCTCCACTGCCATGTTCTGGCGCAACAAGAAGTCCAACAAGATTTTACCAGTGAGGCGGGTGATCCGAAAGAGGCCAAGCCCACCATCCCGCTCCATCAGGGCAGAGTGGCTCAAATTCAAGAGGTCTCATGCAGGAGACAAGTTTGCCCTCAAGGATGAACTTCCCAATGAGAACCACAACAACAACAGCCTGATGTTCGCCCCACCTCCTACTGCACCAGCCCTGCCCCCTCCACCCATCACTGTCCCCAAGATCAGTACCACGGAGTGGACAGTGCCCACAGTCTCGGGCTCACTGACTCCCAAGCATACTAGTAAGCCGATGAAGCAAAAGGCCTTGGACAGACCTGTCCAGTCTGCCCTCGTTTCTGAGCTCAAGAAGAAGTTTGAAAAGAAGGCTGCAGACAATAAGCCTTATGACTGAGAAATCTACTGTGGCCACTCTCAAGCCTGTCACCTCGCTATCCTTGTTCCTGACAACTTAGCTGAAAATCACTCACTTTTTTGTACAAGTATTTACTGCTCATTTGCATGGATTCTCTGCCAATCTCCTTTTCTGTTTTGCAGTGGGAATCATTTCTGTAGTGACCTAGAATGTAAGTGCTAACCACTAGATCATAGTCTGACCATGTGAACTTACTTCTCTCCCCTAAAACTTTATCAAATGTCCCACTGCAAACAAAGTGTTCATTTGCTGACTGGTGTTCGAGTTGCCATTGAATGAGGCTTCATTATTCCTATTCCTGTCCCTTGAAAAACTTAAGCTCATTTGGCCCTTATTTTTGAGCAGCCTGACCCAAAAGATCCTCAATTTATGAAAAGAGCTCCTGCCAGATGTGGGGAGACATCTAAAATATAATGCCATCTCAGGCTATTGTCAGCAAACTAGCCTCCAAATACTGGAAATTCCTTGATAAAGGAGGTGGAGAGGGTAGTAATAATGTTCAGTCTTGACCTAAGTAAAGGAACTTCAAAGGAGGCATTTTGAGAGCTGTTAGGAAAACAGACACAAAAGGAGGTCAAAGATGAGCTGAAAATGCTCATTAAACCATGCAGTTAAAGGAGAAAGGGGAAATTAAAGACCTACTTGTCTAGGTCTTTAAGGGAAAAAATTGATAGATTATGCTTTCATCCTCTCTACCTTCAGGGTTTGGAATGGAGAAAACATTAACTGAATTTTCCCATCAATGGAAGCAGATATTTAAGTATCCAAGTCCATTAGGGGAATGGCACATTAGTGGCTGGGGATGATCCAGGAACTACAAATGCAGACCAAATTCAAATCCATCAGACTGAACCACATACATCTGTATATACTGCATCTCTATACATACCCACAAGTATTCTAAGCATTTCCTCTCTCCATGGAACTATCCTGGCATGGTAGTTCCTTAAAGAGGCAGCAAGGTATAGTAGAAACAACATTGGACTAACCCTTAGAAGACCTGGGTTCTAGCCCTGATTCTGCTAATATTCTGGCGAATGTTCTTGATTCTGCCATGTGACCTGGGGCAAATCACTTAACTGCTCTGTGTTTCAATGAACTTAGTAAAAGCGGTCAATAATTCCTGCCCAGCCTAACTCACCGAATTGTGAGGATCAAATGAGTTACTAATGAATTGGAACATGCTTTGAAAGCTACAAGGCATTCTGCAAATATCAGGTGGCAAAAATAGTGGTCTGAGATTTAAAAGACCTGTATTTGAACCCTGGGTCTGTTACTAGCTGTATTACCCTAAGCAAAGTAGTTATCCTCAGAACCTCAATTTTCTCATCTGCAAAATAGGGATACACTTTGCATTACCTGTCTCACAGGGTTGTTGTGAGGAAAGTGATTTGTAAATCTGAAAGTGTCATATAAATGAGAATGATCATTATTATTAAGGTTCCTTCATTGGAACATAGTTGTTCCACAAAGTACTGGGTGTCTCTTGCCTCTCCTGAGTTTGCTGCAGAGTCACAATGTGTGTGTGAAGTCAAGGGCTTTTTTTCTTTTCTCAGTAGGGTCACTCTCTCACACAACACTGCTGCTCAACCAGTCACCTATGTCAGTGTTACACAAGGGAACAGCCAGGGAAGCAACAGAAATTTTAGAAATAAGAAATCAAGTGACAGAATAGTCCTATTAGACACCCCTTCTCCACCGCTTTCAGATGGCTGTGTGCATAGAATCACAGACTATTAAAGGCAGACTGGGCCTTTAAAATCATCTAGTTCAATAGCTTCATTCTATTTATGAGGAAATTGAGGCCTAGAGTTATGAAGTGACTCTTCAGAGTCACGTAAGATTAGTTAATGGCAGAGCCAACATAAGAATTCAGGTCTCTTGAGTCTTGGCTTTTTCCACAACACTACATATAAAACTCATCTTGGGCATGTATCTTAAGGGTCTGACCATCCTTCTCTAAGAGATGGGGAAGGAGAGTATTCCTATCCTTTGTAGATAGGACCTGTTTTCAGCAAGTCCACTCTAAAGAAAGCCAGGAATACATAAAAAGAGAAATGGAAGAGAGTTCCCTGCTTCCTTTGGGTAGTCAGCACCTACTCCATTTCAGATGATTTTATTTATGAAAATTTGACTTGCACATAATTTTTCTTTGGCCAAATGTGTTTATATAATGTGTTCCATTAACAACCTGATGCACAGATATGCCATGTGATCCCTAGGCTCCATGTTGGGTTTTTCTTCTAATGCATGGCACTGCCATTATCTAAGGTCAAGAATTATAACTAACAATTGAGAACAGAAGAAAGACCACCAGATCAAATGAAACTAACCAGAAGAATAGGGTCAAGTCCAACAAATATTAGGGTGGGGTACTTTTGTTCTACATGATGGATGTTTGGGGACTTTTTTTCGTTAAACATTACCATTCCTACCAGTTGTATTGTATTTCTTTTTTTTTTTGTAATTATAAATAAAACCCTTTAAGTTGAAGCCATATTTTTACCATATGTAGTATCTGTTCTCTATCACCATTCTTTCACCCATCCTCTCTGTCTCAGAAGACAGTGAGGGAATTTCTAAAACGCCTGAAGTTTAATAAGCAAAGAGAAAAGAAAGAAGGAGGTGAAGATGGTTAAAAACTGTATGTCTTCTTAGACAGCTTGGCAGTGTGGTGGGTGGACTGCTGGACCTAGAGTCAGAAAAAGCTAAGAACAAATCCTGCTTCTGACATTTATTAGCTAGGACCTTGGGCAAATCTCTCAACCTCAGTTCCTTCATCTTTATGGGGACAATAATGGAGCCTACTCTACAAGGTTGTTATGAGGCTGAAATGAAAAAATATATTCAAAGTACTTTGTGAGGCTTGTAGCTCTATAGAAATTCTATGTATCATTATTATGACTTAATAACTTGTCACAACTAACGTCTGAGAATAGCTTCTGTTTGTGTTGGTCCTTTGCTCCCTGCCCCCCCCCAAAAAAAATCTGATTCTTATGAATTAAAGTAACCAAGCAAGCTTAAAGGAAGGAGGGAAGGAAACATTTCTACGGTGCTTATTGTGTGCCTGGCACTGTGCTAAATAGTTTACAAATAACATTTCTTTTAATCCCCACAACAACCCCGGGAGGCAGGTGCTATTGTCTTCATTTTACAGTTGAGAAAACTGAGGCAGAGATAAAGTGACTTGACCAGGGTCACACAGCTATTAAGCATCTAAGACTGGATTTTAACTCAGGTCTTCCTGATTCTGGGCATAGTGCTCTATCCACTGCATCATCTCCAAAAGGAAGGGGGAAAAGAATATGCATTTATATAGCACCTACTAGGTACCCGATCCTCACAACAACCCTAGTTGCTATAATTATCCTCATTTTAGAGTCGAGGAAACTGAGGTTAAATGATTTGTCCAGGGTCAAACAGCTAGTGTCTGAGGACGTATTTGAACTCAGGTCTTCAAGACTAGGATCAGTGCTCTTATGCACTGCTACACCTAGCGGTCAAAAGGTGGAGGAAACCCAAGCCCATTCTCACGCCTGAGTTTCAGTGACTCCCCAGTTTGCCCAGGTAGTCAGCTATGTGAGCTACCCACAAAAGCCTCAAACAAGAATGACAGAGAATTGAGGACCTTGCTTCTAACAAATGTGGAGGTAAGAGGGAATTTTGAAGTGACTAGCAGAGAGGAGGTTATGTTGTGTTTCTGCCAGTGTCAAGTAACAGTTATGTTTATTCAAAGTGCAGGCTGGTTCCCCCACTAGAGGAGAAGGTTAAAAAGCTAGAGGAATGTTTTTATGTGGTCCCTGTTCTTAGAAAACATAATGTTTCTTGAAGGGACATGGAATGGAAAGAATACTTCTTGGGTGGAGAACGGGGGCAGAGGAGAAAATAGGAAAAAGAGCAAGGAAGGAAGGAGAGAGAGGGAAGAAAAAAAAGAAGGAAGGAAGGAGAGACAGAGAAAAGGAAGGAAGGAGGGAGGGAGGAAAGCAAAGAGTAAAAGAGGAAAGGAAAGATTTTTTTAGTTTATTTTTAGTTTTCAACAATCACTTCCATAAGATTTTGAGTTTTAAATTTTCTCCCCTTCCCTCCCTGTCTCCTTCCCCAAGACGGCGTACAATTTGATATAGGCTTTACACATACGTTCCTATTAAACATGTTTTCACATTAGTCATATTGTAAAGAAGAATTAGAATCAATAGGAGGAACCACAAGAAAGAAGAAACAAAACAAAACAGAAGGGGGAAAAAGAGCCAGTAGTCTCAATCTGCATTCAAATTCCATAATTCTTTGGATGTGGATATTATTTTCCATCATGACACTTTTGGAGATGTCTTGGATCCTTGCATTGCCGAGAAAAGGTAAGTCTATCAAAGGTAGTCATTGTACAACATGGCTGTAACTATGTACAACATTCTCCTGGTTCCCATTCCTTCACTTAGCATCAGTCCATACAAGTCTTTCCAGGTTTTTCTGAAGTCCACTTGCTTGTCATTTCTTGTAGCACAATAGTATTCCATTACATTCATGTACCACAACTTGTTCAGCCATTCCCCAATGGATGGGCATCCCCTCAATTTCCAATTCTTTATTACCACAGAAAGAGCTGCTGTAAATTTTTTTTTGTACATGTAGGTCCTTTTCCCTTTTTTATGATCTCTCTGGGATACAGACCTAGTAGTTGTATTGCTGGATCAAAGGGTATGCACATTTTTATAGCCCTTTGGGCATAGTTCCAAATTGCTCTCCAAAATGGTTGGATCATCCCTATCAATTGGCAGTTAGATCACATGGCTGGCCTAGATAAGCCTGAGACTCTCCCTCAAATCTATGACTGCCTCTTCTGGTTTGCATTTCTTCCCCTAAGCACAAGTGACTGAATAGTGATCTAAAATGGATATTTCCACCATTGGAGACAACCTGGAGAATTTAAGAGGTTGGGAGGTCTCAGGTCACTCAATAGGAGCTGACTAGAAGCAAGAAGTTTTCTGTAACTATACCCTTCCCAAAGAAGAGGATCATCAACTGGACCAAGTCCCTCAGTGCTCATGTCTTCTGGCAAGACATGGTCCATCATATATATCATCAGTGAGTTTGAATCCCAGAACTTTTACTCACCAATCTTTGTGACTCTAATCAACATCATATTACTGAGATGAGAATGCTTCCCCAAAAGGAGATGGCTAGGTGGTGCAGAGGATAGAGCTCTGGCCTTGGAGTCAGAAGGATGTGAGTTTCAAATCCAGTCTCAGACAAAGGACACTTACTAGCTGTTGGGCAAGTCA